CCGCCCGATATTATCGGGACCACATATTATATTAATCTTGGACTAGATAATATGGATATGGTGATGGATATCCTAATTGGGCCATGGCAATGGCATAGAGTTGACCGGTTGGTCAAACGGGGCCAAATTATCGGTATCGGCAATTTATCTGATAACAGCCCAAAAAGGGAGTCCGGAGATTTCTAAATTAAAGTTGGGGAATCATATTGATTCTAAGGCCCAATAAGGATTGGGAACAAATGTTATATTTTATTTGACCCGATAAAATAAAATATAATTAAAACGATCCGGAAAATACAACTTTCGGGACCGATTGTACACTCCGGGACACAAAGGGTTGACCTCCCACATAAGTGGGGGCCAAACCACGTTTTTAGTTCTGGGAATGGCCAGAGGAGCCGCACAAGATCAGGGGGGAGCAATCAAGAATTGATTGGGAGACCAATCAACATGAGAGTGGGTCCTTGGCCAAGATATTTTTATGAGAAATGCCAAAAAGGCATCCTCAATCATACCAACTCCTACAGCTCGGTTAACCTACTCAAAGAAGTGAGAGAAGGTCTTAAATACTCCATTTCCTCATCCTTTCACGCACCAAGAACAAAGGAGGAAGAAGGGGGGGAAAAGAGAAGAGGAAAAGTTGGTTTTGGAGAGGAAAACTTGTGTTTAGCAAGGTAAGGACTCCATTAACCCCATTTCGTTTTCTTTAATCATATTATATGATTATTCAATCATATTTCACACCCTAGTATTGTTCTACACGTTGGGATGTGTAGAACGAGGGGTTGGAAGGTGGTTCTAAGCCCAAGAATGGACTTAGAAGCCAAAGGGACCGGTTCGCCGGAAAATAACCTTTTGGGGGTTATTTGTACTACTATGGGTTTTATGATGATAAAACCTTGTTAGTAACTTGTCTAAGGTATTCAAGGAACTTTCACGGAGTTGAAAGAGTCGCCGAAGTTGTCGCCGGAGTTCGTTGAAGTTCGCCGGAGTTTCACGGGAGCTAAATCGGGAAGGCTAGAACTTCATAAGCTTCATTAAGGTGAGAAGACGGCTTTATGCTTTATAACTTTTGCGTGAGGCATGAGATTACCTAAAGTAATCAAGGATATGTTTTGTGGAATGATTAAAGGTGATCAAGTATTTGCTTATGCCATGATTTTGCATAAAACATAGTTGAAAAGCATGTTATGTACGTTTGGTGATTAAAAATGTGGTAACATATTTTGTGTGATGATCCAGGGATCCAAAATGGTATTTTTGGATCAAGGACATCAAGAAGTATATGTGTATAAAATTTCAAGTTAATCGGACTCCGTTTGGGGGGTCAAAAGGGGCGTTGACCGCTAAGTCAACTGCCATACCCGACCGGGTATTGACACATACCCGACCGGGTATTTGCTGAAAAATTGCCCAGGGGGCTACTGTCTCCTATACCCGATCGAGTATAGGTATATACTCGATCGAGTATACATGGAAAATTAGCTTTGGGGGCTACCGCCTCCTGTACTCGACCGAGTATGGGAAGATACTCGATCGAGTATTGGTTTATGCTCAAAACGGGCAGTTTTGAGCGGGTTAATGTGGGCCGTTCAGGTGGGACCCGCCCGCATTGGTTCCTAAGGATGGTTATATGACTATAGGGCTAGGTATTGTCCATAGTTGAAGGAACGAAAGGTTAGCCATATCCAGGTTAGGGTTTGGTGAGGATTTAGTTTGGGGTTGAGTATCCCCGGGACATTAGATGATCCTGAAACTCGGTTGGGGTTGAGCATCCCCGGGACTATAAATGATCCTGAAACTCGGTTGGGGTTGAGCATCCCCGGGACATTAAATGATTCTGAAACTCTGTTGGGGTTGAGCATCCCCGGGACCATACATGATCCTGAAACTCGGTTGGGGTTGAGCATCCCCGGGACTGCAAATGATCCTGAAACTCGGTTGGGGTTGAGCATCCCCGGAACATTTAATGATCCTGAAACTCGGTTGGGGTTGAGTATCCCCGGGATGCTAAGTGCTCCCAAAACTCGGTAGGATATTATGAATGTAGAATGTAGCTGGTGAGCTAGGCATTCGGGAAAAGGGTGAGAAAGGTCAGGTAAGAACCTTATCTCTAAAAGACTCTTTGAATGAAATGACCTACGGGTCGAGTATTTTACATATATATACAGTATGTATCATCGGATGAATGAGTCACATATATATATGTATCACCCTATTTTTGGGTCTCGTGTCTGAAACATTAGTTATTCTTCATATAGCCTGCTTGTCACTAGTACTTCTATGGAGTACTGACCCCTCCGGGGGCCCTCACATTTTTCAGGTTGAGGCTAGAGTCCTACTACCTGTACCTTTGCCTAGGGTTATTGATCGATAAGGAAGACGTGGTTCGTGTTTCCATTCTTATTTCAAATGTATAAACCGCTCATGGATTTTTGAACAATGTTTTCATTAAAACAGTTGGGGCCTGCGTGCCCGTGTTTGCCACGTGTGGCTAAGTATCAAACATTTTATTATTTCCGCATTTGTTTGATTTTGATATTGATGTTGATTGTATGTGTTTACTAATCGGTTTGGCAATAGAATCAATCGGACGCCTTGTACAACTCAATAGGGATGAATTGTTGTTGTTCTTATCGGGTTGTACGGCGGTTGTCTACGTGGCTCGGATGCGGTCCGGGGCGTGACATTTAGTATCTTAGATTTCTTTTGAATCCTACCTTTAGGTTTCAAAGCTAAAGGCTTAGGTCTAATTAACCTTAATTTTCTTCTTCTATTTGTTCCTTCCCGTAAGAAAAGATTCAGCAGTAGAGGTTACTTTAGCAATGTTATTCTTTTGAATGTTCATGTCAAACATAACTAATTCAGAAGAGTTGACATTAGGAACCGCAGGTACACATGTGTCAAACACATTCTCAATATTTTCTTGCCTAAACACTAAACACACATTTTGTTTGAAGTCTAGAAGTCTAGTCGAGTCACATTATTTGTATCTAAGATACTTCTCAATGATAAATTCAACTTCCTAAAATCCTAGAGAAGTTCAAATAGAACGAGAACTAAAATCATATATTAATTCCTATGATCACATTTAGTTAACTAAATAATATGGACTTTTAATTATTTAGCTCCCACTATTTTTCATGTTCTTTGACCCCAATAAAAGGAACATAGATTATTTTCACAATCATAGTGGCCAAGATCCACATTCATATTATTATAGTCCCAGCTTGGGCTGATCACTACAATAATATAATGGGTAGATCCCTAGACCAATTGCATCAAAGCAACTCTTGGTTGATCAATTTTCAAATTGATCGACATCCCTAAATTAACATTGACGCTTGGGCGACTCGAGTTAATTTAAGTAAGTCAAAACCATCACACGATCACAAACATATGTATCTATAAATTAGTTCTATATTTTGTCGAATGGAATAAACACTTGGGTGAAATATTCTTCAACGAAAAAATATTTCTACTAATTTAATTATGATGGGTGATGTCGTTATCCTAGATAAGGCTTAAATTTTAATTTATGGGGAGCATTTAGCGGGGTATTAAATTATTCTATTTAATCAAGATGCCAGAACATATTATCAAATAATATGTTAACAAGATCTAACTCAGACATATAACTTAAGCATGCAAAATAAATCTAATTTATAAACAGATGCAATTATTAAATAACTAATTAAGCATGCTGAAATAACAATAGTATAATCATGATATATAATAGATTATTTAAAAAATAGATAACTTGAATGTCAAAGAAAATTAAGTTACGTAAGTACGGAGTATGCATGGTTTCCACAATTTTTCATATTCTATTTAATACCGGTAACTGATTTGTCACCGAAGAGTCCAAAGATTTAAAAGTCAAACCAATCTCTTGACAATCTTCGACAAAACAATAGTTTCTGTTAAATAGAAGTTCTTAAAAATTGCATAGGAAATCCTCAAAGCATTCCTAATTTATAAAATTACTCCAAAAACGAACTTCAAAATCTGGGTATCGCAAATTATCCAAAAATGCAAAAAAAAATAATACACCATCAGCCTCCGTTGAGAAGCTCTTAAATCTGCTAAACAACTCCGAACCATTTTAAAATTCTAAAAATTAAAATGGGCCACTTAAAAACTTATTAGGTAGGTAATCACTTCTTTTTCTTCCTAGTTCTCTGCTTTTTTTTTAATTTTTTATCAATAAGATTTTAAATAAAATTTTGATTTTTGAAAGTTTCAAATGAAGATATTCCTGAACTTGAATTTCTTGTTATCAATTACAGAAAATGACACTTTTGAATAAGAGAATGTCATATTTATTGGGTATTTTTACAAAATGACACTTTTATGTCATTACAATATTTGAAAATGACATATTGAGAATGCCACGTTTCTATACAAAATTGTCATTATTTTGTTATTATGCATATTAAGTGGCATTCTTAAAACATGTCAATTTTTGAAAAATGAAATCTTGTGTAGTCTGATGTTAAAATAATGTTGGCATTTTGGAATAGAAAGATGACATTTACAGTTATAAAACATGTCATTTTCGAGTAAAGATGACATTTTCGAATTACAATGTCTAAAATAATCTGAAATTTAAAAGAAGAACAAAACAGAGGGGAAGAAGAAGAAGGAGAAGGAGAAGGAGGATGAGGAGAAGAAGAAAAAGAAGAAGATGCGGAGGAGGAAGAATACTTGGGGAAGATATTACAGCTGCGATGATGGCGGTTGAGCTGCGTCCATGGCAGCTGGGGAAGAAATTACAGCTACGATGATGGCGGTTGGGTTGCGTCCATGGCAGCTGAGTCGCAATCGATGTAATCGCAGGCAACTGCTTCATTGCAATCGCAGGTGCGATCGAAGCAGAGGTGTGATTGATGCAGAGAGATGGGGGAAAAGGTGATTTAGGGATCAGGGGTAAAAAAGTAATCTAGAGTCCCATTTAGGCAATTTAAAACTACAAGTCTTATTTTGGAGTTTTAAGCATGTTTTAATCTCATTTAGAACAATTTCTTAAAAGTGAAATATACAACCTCCTTTTTATAAATTCTGACCATTAGAATGAGTCCTTCTCCCATGCCAAACCAACATAACTATATGTTGCCGCACGTACACATGAATTATAGGCAGAATTCCGATGAGTAATAGTTACACAGATGTTTCTCGCTCAAAACTATTGCCTACCAAACTCACCATTCAGATCATCATGATCTTTAATTTCTTCACCATTATGGTCATGAGTGCCAGCCTTTGCATTATCAACATGAGTCGCACTACTTCCATCTTCAACCTTCACCCCCTCACTACTCTTCTCCAGCTCCTTCGCAGTGTCATATGATGCGTGGAGGCCGAAGAATAAATAATACACCAAAAGAATAGCGGTCCATATCCCAAACCTTACAAAAGCGTTCTTGTCTATCGAACCAAGGAGGAAGATGTTCGTGGCAATTGATGCGGAGGGTAGCCACGGCACCATCGGAACCCCCCAGAGCCTCGGTTCGCGGGCTCGGGGTACAAACCACCACAGCCCCGCTGTGGAAAGTAACCATACTGGTGTTGTGATGCAGTATGCAACCCATCCACTCTTGGTGGCACCCCAGAAAGAAGCCGTGGCGATTGAAGACATGAGGATGAGCGAAAGGAAAGTGATAAGCTTGTTGCGGTCCCCGAGTTTGGTCACCCCGGTAACATAGTAGCGTCGGACGAGAAGTGCCAATGCGACTAGCATGAAGATGAAGAGGGTCGAGATCGAGAGTACTTCAGCTAGAATATCGAGCTTCGTGAAGAAGGCTATTATGGCGGTTGCAAGCGTCATGACAATGGTTGCGTTGATGGGCGTTCCTGTCCTCGGGTCAACATACGAGAACCATGGGGGCACCATGTGTGTCCGTGAAATGTGGGTTAGGTAACGGGCCTTACCCACAGCACCGACCATCAACACAGATGTCATTCCCTTCAGAGCTCCGAAAGCAACGATATATTGAGCCCACGGCCAACCAACAGCCTTGAACGCAAGCGAAAATGGAGCGTTTGGATCAATGCTTGTATACGGTTGCATCAAACATAAAGTGATCGCGAGGACACAGTAAATGGTGGTCGTGATCGCCATAGACCCCACTAAGCCGATAGGGATATCCCTGCCAGGGTTCTTAGTTTCCTCAGCCATAGTGGACACGGCATCAAAACCGAGGTAGGCAAAGAACAGGACAGATGCAGCCTTGAAGACACCATGGGGGCCGTAGGGTGCAAACGGGGTGTAGTTGGCAGGGTCAGATTTCATGAGCCCGCCAACGATGATGAAGATGATGATTACAATGTGAACAATAGAGGCAATATAGTTGATTCGGGATGAAGCATTGGTGCTGAGAATGGCAACGGCACATATGGCAAAACAAACTCCTACGGCGATCGGGTCGAGGCGGTTGTAGCCATCGGATAGAGCGTCAACCTTGATGAGGAACTTCTCCAGGTGCTGGTTAAAGAGAGTGGCCAAGTAAGAGGTCCATGAGCGTGCAACAGCAGCACCACCAATCACCGAGTCAAGTATGATATTTCCAGCAGCAATAAAGGCCACAAACTCGCCAAGTTCTACCCTTAGATATGCAAATGAACCACCTGACCACATTATACACGATATTAGTAATCTACACAATACCCATGATAATCAACCACAACTCAGAGCTCTATTTAATGGAGAAGCTCTCTTTGTTACTGGTAGCAATCAAATAAGTTTAGTTTCTTCACATTATGATATGTCTTTATCCTCTACTCCCATGTTTTTTTAGTTAAACAGCTCATTTTATCTATACTCGTATACCATAGTCATATAAAACAGATTGAATATTGCGAAATTAAGGTCCAGTACATTATCCTTTTCTGTACATTATCCCAAGTTGGGAAGTGACCGCGATACCAAGCGAATCTTAAGGAAGTCAAATCTTAAAAACCATAACAAAGAGAAAATGATACTGGAAATTACTCGATTGAAACATTAAGATTGGACATTACAAATAGAGAGATTCATATATATGCAACACATCTTCATTGCACAATGAGGTTATATGAATAACCATTTTCTAATGCCATCAAATTGTACTACCTCTCAAGACTTATACTACGTATATGTTTTCGAAAATGCATATTATATACTAGTAATAAAATTTCCCTGTCATTAGCAAATACATGATCTCTAGTTTGAATAATGTTTATTCATGACTTTCTATTTTGGCAAGATATGATTATCAATATTTTAAGGGTTATAAGTCTGGATCGTTAAATAAAATTGACTGGGAAGAGCTTAATTAATTTAACTAGTTAAAATGAAAAAGAGTAAAAAATCCCCTAAACAGGAGCAAAATAGAGTTTTTGCCCGGAATAATGCTAATTAAATAAATAATTCCCAAAATACTGTTGGGTTAAAAATAATTCCCAAAATACTGTTGGGTTAACTGTGGTTAAGAAAAGCCACCACTTGAAGTGACGGCTCTTCTCTTACCGTACAAAAGCCGCCACTCCAAGTGGCGGCTCTTCACTTAGAGCACATTTTTACAAAATGTGTTGTACGTGAAGAGCCGCCACTTGGAGTGACGACTTTTGTACTGTATGAGAAGAACCGCCACTTTAAGTGACATCTTTTCTTAACCACGGTTAACCTGTTAGAATGTAAACTTGATTTTGGGCTAAGTTAATAATTGATGTTTGTTGTAATGGGCAAAGCCCAAAATAATAAGGAGTGTTCTAGAGGAGAAATGTTCTAGAAAGTTTCTAGAGTGTGAGACTTCTAGAGACATTCTAGAGAATAATTAATAATAGAGTATTCTAGATAAGGAGAATTCTAGAGAACTCTCCACCATTTATTGTGGATGTGAGTAGTATAAATAGGTGTAGTTGTGCTCATTTGTAATCAAGCATCAAGCTAAGAAATCTTCAAGCAATAAAATACAAGTTCTCTCTTCTTCCATCCTCTCTTCTAGTTAGCTAAAAGCTTTTTTCTACTTACACAATTTACTTCATAACGTCCTAAAATACTTAGCCTCTACCTCTAATATTCCAACAAATTGGTATCAGAGCCATGGCTAACGGGATGCAATCCTTTCAATTCCCTCGCCTAACCAAAGACAACTATAGTACTTGGTGCATCCGAATGAAGGCAATATTAGGTTCACAAAAGGTGTGGGATTTGGTGCTGAATGGCTACGTTGAACCGGAGGATGAAAGTACTCTTAGTGCACTCCAAAAGGACGCATTAGAGAAGGCTCGGGAGAAGGATCAAAAGGCAATGACTCTCATTCATCAATGTTTGGATGACAATCAACTTGTGAAGGTTGCAAATGCAACTACTTCGAAGCAAGTTTGGGAGATTCTTCAAAATACATATCGTGGAGTCGATAAGGTAAAACGTGTTCGTCTCCAAACACTTAGAGGTGAGTTTGAGTCTCTTCAAATGAAGGAATCCGAGTCTATTTCTGATTATTTTGATAGAGTTGAGAAGGTAGTAGATGAACTAAGGAGGAATGGAGAAAATTTGGAAGATACAAGAGTGGTAGAAAAAATTCTTCGCTCTTTAACTCCAAATTTTGAGCATGTGGTAGTAGCTATTGAGGAATCACATGATATAGACTCGATGACTATAGACCAACTTAACGGATCACTAGTGGCCCATGAATAAAAAATGAAAAAGAAGAAAGTGCAATATCCGTTGGAGCAAGCACTTTATACACAACTTTCATTCAAAAGAGGTGATGGTCAAAGAGGGCGAGCTAGGGGCCGTGGACGAGGTCGAGGCCGAGGAAGAGGACATGGTGAAAATCACCAAGAACACGAAGAAGAGAAAAAACAACACTTCAAGCCGACAAGAGGTCGTGGAAGAGGCGGAAACCAAAGGTATGAGAAATCACAAGTTAGATGCTATAATTGTGATAAATTTGGTCATTTCGCTTCCGATTGCAAGGCAAATTACTGTGAAGTGGAAGAAAAGTTTAACCAAGTCAAGGATGAAGTCGATCTTACCTTATTGATGGCACATGATCTTAAAGAGAAAGAGAGAAAGAGTGTGTGGGTATTAGATACCGGCGCAAGCAACCACATGACCGGTGATAAAACCATGTTCGCGGAAATTAAACAAGCCAATGGAAAAGTCACATTTGGAGACGAGTCAAAGGTGTCGGTGGAAGGAAGAGGTAATATCTTAATCCGTCTAAAAGATGGTAGTCACCAATTTATTTCCGATGTTTATTATGTGCCCAATCTAAAAAATAATATTTTGAGTTTGGGGCAACTTCTAGAAAAAGGTTATGACATCAATCTAAAAGATAATAATCTTTTTCTAAGAAGTGAAGGAAGATTAATAACCAAAGTGCCAATGACGAAAAATAGAATGTTTTTATTGCAGATTCAAAATGATGAAGCAAAATGCTTACATTCATGTTTAAAAGATGATTCGTGGTTATGGCACTTAAGGTTTGGGCACTTGAACTTTGGTGGCTTAAATTTATTATCAAGAACCAAAATGGTTGATGGGATGCCAATCATAAATCATCCAAATCAATTGTGTGAGGGGTGTCTTTTAGGAAAACATGCAAGAAAAGGTTTTCCAAAAGAATCAAATTTTAGAGCTAAGAGACCCTTGGAATTAATTCATGCCGATGTTTGTGGACCCATTAAACCAAGTTCATATGAAAAGAATAATTATTTTCTTCTTTTCATTGATGATTATTCTAGAAAAACTTGGGTCTATTTTCTAAAAGAAAAGTCGGAAGTCTTTGGGTCATTTAAAAAATTTAAGGCCCTTGTAGAAAAGGAAGTTCGGCATGAAATACAAGCCATGAGATCCGATAGAGGAGGTGAATTTACATCAAATGAATTTAATGAATTTTGTGAAAATAATGGGATTCGCCGTCCTTTAACGGTTCCATATTCACCACAACAAAATGGCGTGGTTGAAAGAAAAAATAGAACTATTCTTGAGATGGCTAGAAGCATGCTAAAAAGCAAGAATATGCCAAAAGAATTTTGGGCCGAAGCGGTTGATTGTGCTGTGTATATTTTAAATCGTTGTCCAACTAAAAGTCTTGACAACAAGACACCTCAAGAAGCATGGCGGAAGAAGAAACCAAATGTTTCTCACCTTCGAGTTTTTGGAAGTATAGCATATGCTCATGTGCCAGATCAAAAACGCTCAAAGCTTGATGATAAAAGTGAGAAGTTTGTGTTTATTGGATACGATAAACACTCGAAGGGATATAAGCTATATAATCCAGTCACGAAGAAAATCATTGTGAGCCGAGATGTCCAATTTGATGAAGAAGCCTCTTGGGATTGGAGTGTTCAAGAAGATGAGAATTACAATTTCTTCCCGCTCTTTGAAGAAAATGAAGAACAAGAGGACCATGATGACCAAGCGGCTCAAGAACCAAACACTCCACCTCATTCACCATCCATCCAAGGAAGTCCACCAACCAACGATGAAGGCTCAAATGAAAGAACTCCCCGTTATAGAAGCTTACAAGAGATATATGAGGTAACACAAAATTTGGATGAAATAACTCTTGTTTGTCTTCTTAATGATTGTGAACCAATAGGTGTTCAAGAGGCGCTAGAAGACAAGAAGTGGAAAAATGCTATGGACGAGGAGATGAAGTCAATCATGAAGAATGATACTTGGGAGTTAGCTACGCTACCAAAGGGGCACAAGGCTATTGGAACTAAATGGGTATACAAAGCAAAGAAAAATGCCAAAGGAGAAATTGAAAGATACAAGACAAGGTTGGTGGCGAAAGGGTACAAGCAAAGGCCGGTATTGACTATGACGAGGTATTTGCTCCCGTTGTCCGCTTAGAAACTATAAGATTACTTATTTCAATTACGGCTCAAAATAATTGGAGATTATACCAAATGGACGTAAAATCGGCTTTCTTAAATGGTTATTTGGAAGAAGAAGTCTATTTGGAACAACCCCCAGGTTATATAATTAAAGGGCAAGAAAATAAAGTTTTAAAATTAAAGAAGGCACTTTATGGATTAAAACAAGCCCCAAGAGCTTGGAATACTAGAATAGACAAGTACTTCCAAGAAAATGGTTTTCTAAGGTGCCCTTATGAATATGCCCTTTATGTAAAAACAAATGAAGATGGGGATATTTTGATTGTTTGCTTATATGTGGATGATTTGATATTCACGGGTAACAATCCAAGTATGTTTGATGCTTTCAAGAAAGAAATGAGTCGTGAATTTGAGATGACGGATATGGGACTTATGTCATACTACCTTGGAATTGAAATCAATCAAAGTGATAGAGGAATATTTATTTCCCATAAAAGGTTATGCAAGAAAAATTCTTAAGAAATTTAAGATGGATGGGTGCAAGCCGATTGACACACCAGTCGATTATGGGACAAAATTCTCTAAGTTTGATCCGACTATGTTCAAAAGTTTGGTTGGGAGCTTGCGCTACTTAACATGTACGAGGCCCGATATTCTTTTTGGAGTGGGACTTATTAGCCGCTATATGGAAGCTCCAACATCTATCCATATGAAGGCCGCCAAAAGGATTCTACGCTACCTAAAAGGTACGATTAGCTTTGGATTGACTTACTCATCTTCTAAAGAATATAAGTTGTTTGGTTATAGTGATAGCGATTGGGGCGGAGATATTGATGACCGTAAGAGTACAATCGGGTTTGTACTTTACATGGGGAATATGCCTCTCACATGGTCTTCAAAGAAGCAACCAATTGTGACACTTTCGACTTGTGAAGCTGAATATGTTGCCGCTACGTCATGTGTATGTCACATCATTTGGCTTCGAAGATTGTTGAAGGAAATTCACATGCCGCAAGAAGATGCAATCGAGATTTATGTTGATAACAAGTCGGCCATTGCACTTGCAAAAAATCCCGTCTATCATGACCGAACCAAACATATTGATACTCGCTACTATTTCATTCGTGAATGTGTCGAGAACAAAGAGGTCCAAGTGAAGTATGTGAGGTCGCAAGATCAAGTTGCGGATATTCTTACAAAACCTCTCAAGCATGAAGACTTCAATCGATTGAGAAGAATGCTCGGAGTTGGAAATCAAGTTTAAGGGGGGATGTTAGAATGTAAACTTGATTTTGGGCTAAGTTAATAATTGATGTTTGTTGTAATGGGCAAAGCCCAAAATAATAAGGAGTGTTCTAGAGGAGAAATGTTCTAGAAAGTTTCTAGAGTGTGAGACTTCTAGAGACATTCTAGAGAATAATTAATAATAGAGTATTCTAGATAAGGAGAATTCTAGAGAACTCTCCACCATTTATTGTGGATGTGAGTAGTATAAATAGGTGTAGTTGTGCTCATTTGTAATCAAGCATCAAGCTAAGAAATCTTCAAGCAATAAAATACAAGTTCTCTTTTCTTCCATCCTCTCTTCTAGTTAGCTAAAAGCTTTTTTCTACTTACACAATTTACTTCATAACGTCCTAAAATACTTAGCCTCTACCTCTAATATTCCAACATAACCCAGCAGTATTTGAGAATTATTTTCAACCCAGCAGTATTTTGGGAATTTTTTATTTTATTAGCATTATTCCGGGAAAAAATTCAGCAAAATATACGACCTTTTTTAAAATAGGATTATGATTATTTTCTTTTCAGAACATAATCCATTTACTCTTACTTTGAGAAGTTTCTTTTTTTTTTCTTCGGATAGGAACAAATAAGCCCAATTTCGAAAATAAAGCATATTTAATCATAGTTGTATATTTTATTCATGTTTTACTTCTGTTTTGAAGAATTCCCTAAAAAATACTAGTAATACTCATAGTCCTAAAATTATTTGAACTATTCATATTGTTCGACTTTGGTTAGAGAAATATCTTCATTTTATTAATTCACCAGCAAATCAAAACAAAATATAATTGAAGTGACATCTTACCAACTTTTAAATGCAAACTTTGAACATGAATACTTTAAGGAAATATGAAGTTTTCCTTTGACTTCGTCCAATGTCTTTATCAAGACAAGAAATGTTGAATGTTATCCTTCACTTCCTTATTTTTATCTCATTTTACTTTTTTAGTCCGCCTTACTAAAACGAGTCAAACTCGAGCTTTGAACGTTCAGACTCGACTCAACTCGTTAACGGCGATAACCGAAATAAACATGGATCACTTTAGATTGTTTTATTTAGACAATACTCAAAATCAAATGATACCTGCAAGTGTGTCCTCTAGCTTTGAAAAATAAGAAAAATGTTAGAAGTACAAACACACTTACAAAAAAATGTACAAACAAGTGATGTGGCTATTCTAATTATCATTGATGTAAAAGTGTTGTAAATGTGATGTGATGTGTTAAATAATGTGATGATGGCGCATACTCTTTTTGTAAGACTTTTTGTAAAAGTGTTTGTACCTCTAGCATAACTCGAAAAATAATTTTCTCTCTTTCTTCAACTACAACAATACATATTTTTAACATCTTCTATGACATCTAAACACTCAACAAAAAATGCTTATACTAAAAAAACCCAATATAAACTCTTTCTCAAAAATATTCTATGAGTATTATTATTCAATCAGACCAGAAATTACCTGCAACTGGTATCTCCACTGCGAACTCAGTATAACAAAAGACGGAAAGCATGGCGGAGACGCCGGAGACGGCGTAGGAGAGGACGACAGCTGGGCCGGCGTCTTGGCTGGCCTCTCTGCCGGTGAGGACGAATATCCCGGCTCCGATGACAGCACCCATGCCGAACCAGATGAGGTCCCACCAGGAAAGAGTCCTCTTCATCTCGTGCTGGCTTCGGGACTTGGCGTCAAGCTCCGCCTGGTCCATGGACCGGGACAGGACCCGGTCTCGCAGCCGGGCCGGAGTCTGCCTCAGCGCATTTACGTAATTGCCCCAGCTCTTGAATGATTCTTCAGGGAGAAAATCGTCCTTTGTGCAGGAAAACAGCCTTCTCCTCGTCATCCCGCAGTTTCTTTTCACCAAATCTCCAACGGCTATTTCACTGGAAGCTAAATTAAGAAATGTCACAGAAACTGGGAAGAAGAGACTTCTTCAGTTGCACCACAAAGTATGGGAGGCATTAATTTATGTGTGCCCCTCTCACACATTTCTTTTTTCTCCATGTCACACTTTTGGTCAATATTTAAGACCTTCATAATGGTAGTAGACTACTCTTATTTAATACGGAGTAATATCTATATAATAATATACTCTCTCCGTTCCTAAAAATTCTTCCCGGTTTGACGTGGCACGCTTATTAAGAAAGTGGAATAAAGTGGAAATGTATGGTTGTGGTTGTGTAAGAAAAAGGTAAAATGAATGTGAGCCACGCAAATTGTCCAAAATGGGAAAGTGGGAAGTATTTTTAGGAACAGCCCAAAAAGGAAAGTGGGAAGTATTTTTGGGAACGGAGGGAGTATTTAATACTCCCGGAATTATCTTCATTCTTTCCTTTTCGATCCGTCCCAAATTTATCTCATTTTCCCCTTTTTGGTAAATAATATGTGGTTCACAACCATTCTTACACATTTCTCCCTCCTCTGAATAACTCTTCAACACACAAATCTCACTATCTTAAAACTCGTGCCTGGTCAAAACCGGAGTTAAATATGGGACGGAGTGAGTAATTAATATAATATATATATATATATATATATATATATATATATATATATATATATATCATATAAAAATGATTTATTTTATTTTTGGAGAAGTTTTATGTATCTTTTGTTTGGCAATCACTTGTTTTTCACTACTCCCTCAGTCCCAAATTGTAAGATACATTTACTATTCACATGGTCAACATAAATCATTTTTAATCTTTTACTTTATATAACAAAATTTTATGAAATTTGAATTATTTTTTGTAGGTTTTATAGCGGTTTTAATGTAGTTTCTGAATATGTCAATTTTATTTTCTAAAACTAATTTGAGTGTTGACAGAGATTAATTTGCTTTATCGTCGGTCAAACATCGTAAACCGTAAAGTATCTTACAAATTGGGACGGAGGGAGTATCATTTTGTCCCCAACATGTTTGCATGCTCAAGTTTTTATTATTATTCAATGATTTTTTAAAAAAAATATTTTTAATTCTGACAATTTTTCTATATAATTTATTTACTTTTTCTTTTGGAGTTTAATCATTTATGCTTACCCGTTAATCACCGATAACCCAACTGATCAAAATAAATTGAGACGTGTGACAGCTGAAACAAGTAATTGAAAATATCCAACTTGAAATAGACCAAAGTGGAGCAACGTTTTCATCTTGACATTTCTAAAAACCAAACCAACCAAAATCAATTAATCAAGCCGTTCATTTTAACCCAGCAACTGAATACGGAGTATTAATCAACGTCCAAAACAAAAGCCTTCAACACCGATCAAAATGAACCCTACATATTTAGTCAACTCAAACTCTAATCATGTTAGTAGAGAATAGAGATCACATTGTTTCTTTCCATATTCAGTTGAATTAAAATCCTCTATCCCACTTTGTTCCATTACTATACCACTCATTAATCATTACAACTTACAAGAATACAAGCACTTGAGAAATAAGATCTAGACAATGAGTAAAGAGAATGAGTTTATACATACTACATATCGATGGGAATGAATAACTGAACTCCAATCAATTTAGGGTGTTGATGCCGGAATTTTTGACCAACCGACCCTCCAAGTACTACAAAATTACTCGCTTAAATGTGGGACACTAAAATCACAAGTCAGAAAACTTAGGTCAAAACTAAATAAGCCTGACTGTTCATGAGGGTAAATTGATTCATTTGACAGAAGCAAGACTAAACATTCATCCCATGACGTCAAATTGATTCATTTCTAGCTCCCCTTCCACATTTTGTTTTTTTTTCAGAATGCCCTTTTCAGTCTCGGCGGCCAACTCTATCCCATCCTCCAACTCTCTTTCAATGAGGTCGTCATCATCCAAATAATCATCCACTTTCCTGGTTGAATCCCCACGGGACTTCCTGTTCCTCTCAAGTGCTGCTTTAACCTTGTCTTTGTCTATCTTCTTAATCACCTCCTGTGGTGACTGTCCAACTTTATTACCATCCCTACCATAGTACTTTTCCTTCAAATCTCCCTTGCCTCTGTTTTCAGGCAAAAGCTCTCTTTCATGTTGGATGTGCTTTATGTTAGTCTCAAGGTCAGTAAAATGGTTATAAACGCTGCCTTCTGAACCGCCACGGATTTGATCCTGAGTTCCCACCCTCGGAGGGCCCACAATATAGGAAGCTGGCGGTTTGGAGGTCTCTCCTACCTTTGATGTAGGGTGAACACCACAGCCATGATCTTCAACGGTGGCAGAGGATTTTGAAGGTGTTTGGATACCACCAGCAACACTCCCTTCAGCTTCAATTGCTAGTGAAGAAGGAGCAGCCTTGTTCTGTTCGTACAACTCTAGCATTTGGTTGCTCACTTCTGCAAAAAGTAACAGTGTCAAAAAATGAGCCACCATCCCTTCTCTCCTCATTTCTAAAAAAACTTCTACCGGGACCCAAATAATAGTTTAGTAGCCGGCAGTTGTTGAAGACATACAATTGACCTATTAGTAAATTTTGAGTTCATATTTTGGAAATTTACATATGAGACATATTTGATAATACTTTTTGTTAATGCTTTAATAAATATGGTCTAAGCGAAGTATGTCAATAATACAAAAGTCAAAGTGTGGCAACTAATCAAATACTACTCTTATGATTATGTACAGAAGTAGCATAGTGTATATCCAGGCAGGGAAAGGCACCTACCCTCCAATTGCCGCGGGGTAACATCAAACTCCTGCCACCAAACTTTCTCCCCATCAGATGGGAGTTTTACTTTAAGGAACTTGGCAGCAAGAAAAATGGCACCCGCTGCAATGTGGTGAGGCTTAAATTGCAAGCATAGAGATGTGCGAAGCCTGCATTCAGCCGGCTCTCCCCCCATCAACACCAAATAACAATTAACAAAAATACATAAAAAAAACTACAATGTGCAGTAGTTAGTTACATCATCCTTACCCATCATTAACGAAATTCCATGCAACTTGGGCAAGAGCATTTTGAGCAACCTTGAGTTTCTTTACTGCCTCGACCAGAGGTTTATATGGATGAAGCACATTCAGGTCAAAAGCAAGAGTAGCTAGGACCGCCCTTTCTGCAAGCAATGTAAGTTCTTTTTGTTGTTCATAGACTTCCTGTGTTACATGTAAACATTTTATTATTTTCAAGCCGCACTATTAGCTTCCTAATCTAAATCACTTGCCTAACCAACTTTTATATGCATATAGAACCATACTAACCAACTTTTATATGCATATAGTACCATAAACGGGAAATCAAAGAGAGCAAGTGAAATCTACAATGACCAATGGAAGTTATAGATCAAGTGAAATATACCTTCTGCTTAATCCTTTGAGCTGCTGATGGATCCTTTTTATGAATAATCTCATATGACACAAGTATAACATCCTTCAACGGACGAGGTGTTTCTTCAACCTTTCCCGCAAGGAACATGCATACACTGGCAATAGTCTGCCAAAGTAAAAAATGCAAATTCAATTATTTGATTTATTTACTTATTCAGTACTCAGTCCATGCAATTTTCGACGCGATTTTCATTATGGGTCATCCGGAAACAGTCTTTGTGCTTTAGCAAGGGGTAAGGCTGCGTACATCCGACCCCCCTTACCCCACCATAGGTGGGAGACTTTGCGGCACTGGGGTGTTGTTGTATTTACTTATTCAGTAGACTGTTGATTTGTAAGAAATATTGCGGTGAGAAGGCAACCGACTCATTTTCTGAAAAATGAACCAAACAGAAGTAGACAGCTCTCTGATTTGCAACCAACACTTGAAAATGAAAATGATTTCGGGAAAATAATCCAGAAGTAGACATGATTTCTGGATAGTAAGTCATTTCCATGAAATAATTACTACCACAGTATTTACAGGACTCCCAATATACAGTTTCATTAGTCAACAAATATAAATCATGTTGCTTTACCAAAATTTATGTGTGTACCCCCTGACTCCCTCTATCCTAATTTTTTATTACTTTGACTCGGCATGCTGATTATGAAACTGAAATTGCATAGTTGAAAATTATTTAGAAAAAAAAAACTATATTAAACAACTGATGATGTCTTATATAGTACTCCGTAACATATATACGTGAAAATCATGCATACAGACAAATAGATGCATGAAATAGAGCATGACGCAACATTAGATTACAACAGCAACGTTACCCCAGTGCCGCAAAGGCTCCCACCTACGGTGGAGTAAGGGAGTCGGATGTACGCAGCCTTACCCCTATACTAAAGCACTGAGAGATTGTTCCCGGATGACGCAACATTAGATTCCATCAAACAATAGTAGCTACTTCTTAGGACTGGGTTTGCTGGGTTGGTGCCTTTGGTGATTCAGAAACGAAAAAGGTAGAAAAATATTGATGTAAGAATGAATGAATAAGAAAATAAATCCATAACTTACCCTTCTATCATTTTTCGCTAGAGAATGACGAAGAAAGAAACGATGACAAAATATTATTGCTGTCGCAATCGTCAACTGAGGTCTGAATGTCAAAACATCAAACATAATATTAAATCATATAAAAAGAATTCAGGGGTTTACATATTTGTACATAAAACATCCTGATGCAAAATCTTAACATTGCATATATGTATTACCAATTTACCACTAAATTAAATACGTTGACAACCACATTTACATTTGATATTTTAACATTGCTAAACCCATCTATTGTGACTAAGTGTGTGCCATTTTCAACTACAAACAAAAATGTCATTCAAAAAAGTAATATGTCATGAAAATGTCACAGTAACTAATACCAATCTGTGCATCAGATTCGTCATTGATTAGAAGATATTGCCAATTAATCAGATTCAGAACTATTTAAAAATCTTCGACACAAGAAATTCAGGAATAGACTAATTAAGTTTAATCATATTAAAGTTAGCGTATGGCAAGGATAAATTAAAGCCCCAATTAAAAATGCATTTTGTTATATTTGTCAAACAAAAAGAATAAGAAATTCAATAACACAGAGAAATATAGACATGACATACATGTTTCTCTGCAAGTTGCAACATCAATTATGTAATGAACATGACAATAAAAAATGTCTCAACTCATCGCCACTCAGGATATTTTCCATACATATGGATATACCTAAAATGATGACAATTTTAGAAATGTCATCTCATTATTCCTTCCTACGAAAGTTGCAACATGAAGGGTATCTGGTGTAAAACATTGCAAATTTGCAACTCAGCCTTCTTAATGAATATATAGAGCTAATTAGTTTTATACAAATAATGGGCACTACAAAATGTTAAATGCCACAAACCCCAACTAGTTCAAATTAGTGAGCCAACAATGATGATAATGAATACACAGAAAAGTTGAAAACTAACACTTTCAATCTCATGCCCAGATCTTGTAAGAATGTACAATATGATTTGCGCATGTAAGTCTCCTTCTTCAAATCAATCCCATCTTTTCTTGAAGGTGAATTTTCTTCAATCTCCTTCCTAGAGAAATACCAATGACCATCACCTTCCTCTGGAATTTCTTGAGAGATCTTAGAAGCTCCAAATTCATGCACTCCATGCTTCGAGGAGTCATCGGCCAAAGCAGTCATATGTACCACTTGATTCCACTATGAAAAAATTAAATAAGTTTGAGGTCTCAATATACAACCATAGATATTTAAATGACGCACCTGCCGGCAAAATCATATAGTTATATTACAAAAATAAAATATGATTTAATTAACAGAAATGAACAAGTGCTCTTAATCATGAGTAAATGAGCCAGGGCAAAAGTATAAGCACAAGCCCCAACTCTTCAAACCTCCAAGTAGATATATTAGAAAGAACCACATTTTAGTAGTTCAGTTGTGCAGAAGAAAGACTTGTTCATTTAAGAAACAAGGGGAGAGTTCAAATAAGAAGAGGTGCTCCCGTGCAAAGTGCGAACGATTGCACTTTTCCCTCACCGTCTTGCACTATTGCATGTTTTTGTTGCATTTTTCGCGGTCACAGAAAACTTCAATTTATTTACAAAATTGCCACCACGTTTTTTTATCAAATTTAGTGCATTGCTGGGTCATTTTTAGCCATTAGATGTGGAAATGAATGCACAAGATTTATTCTCACTTTGCATGGGAAGACCTCTTTGTATTTGAACCCTCCCCTAAAAAACAATGCTTAATCTTCATTCTATATAGCTAATCATACATGTAACTACTTAAGATGTTTTTAATTGGACTGATTTGAGTCTCTGACCAGATCAGACGAGATTAGATCAGCCCAAACTCAGACATTAGTAAAATACATATAAAACAAACATCTACCGGATCAGAAACTTTCAGTCCAATTAAAAACATAATCAACCCGTCAACCCTAGCCACTTGCATTGTCATTTCAAGTAGTACTCAGTCCCTAGCCTTATCGCATATTAACCATTAAGAAGCACGAGCATGCAAGAAAAGGTATGAATTCATTTATCAGCACAAATATGGTGGGACATCCACAGTTAGTGAATCTTGATTTAAGCTTCAAAATTATCATTTTTCTCTATCTTAATTTCTTTTTTCTTCATGGTTATTCTCCTCTAGAGCCTGGTCATCTGAGCATATCTTTAGTTTCCACCTGTTCAAGCCTGGTATATACACAAAAATATAACCCTAAAACTTAACTTCAAAGGAAATTACAGTAAACTAGCTTTTGACCTCCCCTATATCAATGGAAAAAAATAACTAAAACGAAAATCAGATGAAAAGGGATTGTTTATATATAGAACAAAGACAAAAACTCATAGTAGCATCCCGAAAATAACAAACCGAGCAAAATCAGGAAACAAGTAAACATATATGTCAAGGATAGAAACCAACCTCAAATTACCCTCTCACAGTTAAGTCGCTGCTGTTGAGAATCTCAAATTGTGCAAGCCGGAAACAGAAAGAAGAATGAATCGAATTGCAGATTCTGGAGTCCACAAAAAGATATGGGAAAATGCATCGAGAGAACAGCGCGCAATAGTATGCGAAATAGGCTACAAAAAAGAATCAATAAAATGAACTAAAAGCGTCGTACCTGAATCAGTTCTGAAACACAGCAATAGGTTGAACCGGAAAGAAAAATTTGTGAAGTGTTCTTGGCGCCTTCTGTCTCCTGCGAATGACAGCGTGCCTTCTTGACTCTTCAGGCTTGATCCCGACGGAAATTGGGCAGACTCGAAATAGTATCCTAGGTTAACTTTTTTTGGGTCAGGTAGCGCGGTAGGTCATAATTATTTAATTATTAGTTCAATTTTATATATAGTCAATATTAATAATTAAATTCATCCAAATTGTTTTGTAAAAAGTCAATATTTTTTCGTCAATTAATATTCAAGTTAAATTCTCTCTAGTTATTAATTCATTCAATTTTAATAATTAAAGTTTATATATTCATAAATTATATTAAAATGGCTATAAAATTGTAAAATCTAAATTAAAATTTAATTAAGAGTTGATATCCTAACTAAGTGAATAAAATATGATCAAAAAAATAAGTGAATAAGGTGAATCTATTTGACTCAAAAAAGTCAAATTTACAACTCAATTTGGTACGAAAGGGTATAATGTTTTTGGAACAATCCATCAGAAAAGTATGTAGTAATAGATAAAAAGATCAAGGGCTTTTTCCTTCAATATTACTAAACTAAAGCCAATTTCCAAAAAAATAACCATTTTTATAAAAATAAAAAAATGTGATTAAGGTCACATATTTGGGAAAATATGATGTCACTGTCATTTTTTATGTCATTGTCGGATTTTTATGTCACTGTTGTATGTCACTACCAGATTTTTATGTCACTTTTGAAATGTCACTACCGGTTTTCACGTAACTATTAGATGTCACTATATCGGAAAACGTGTCACTGTGTTGCCGGAAAAATTTCCAACGACTTTTCCCCATCAAAATTTTCACCGGAAATCATCACCCCGCCGCCTCAACACCGCCGCCATCGCGTGAGACCGCCTACGGCCCCAGCCCCAGCCCCAGCCTCCTCCACGGCTACCCCAACCCCCTCCCCTGCACCCCAGCCCCTCCCCTGCACCCCAGCCCCTCCTCTGCACCCCAACCCCTCCTCTGCACCTACACCCCCTCCCCTGCACCCTAGCCCCCTCCCCTGCTCCCCTAACCCCTCCACAGCTTCCAAGCCCCCTCCCCTGCTCCCTTAGCCCCCCCCCCCCCCCCCCCCCGCTCTCAGCCCCCTCCCCTTCTCCCCCAGCCCTCTATGACTCGCTGCATCCCCAACAAGCACAACCCTGCCTTGCCCCCAACCCCCTAGCCCCTCTGCGACACGCCCTAGCCCCACTCGCCACAACCTCCACACGAACCACCGCTAGATCTGAAATCGTCGTCAGCTTTCGGAATCCTAGCACTAATAATCACCGCCGTCGATGTAGTGGATGACAGGGATGAAGCTAGCGAAAAACGATGACGGCGAGGCGAGTCCAGGCGCCACGATGTGCGACGAGTCGAAGCGCGACAGAGATGTGGCGAGGCGCAACTAGGCTTGGCGAGGTGCGGCGTGGCGGTGAGGTGAGACGTGGTGGAGAGGTGTGGCATGGCGGCAAGACACGGCAGGGCAATAGAGACGGAGAGCACGATGGGCAGGTTGGCGCAGCAATGGAGGAGAGCTCGATCAGTGAAGGGGGGTAAAAGAGAGAAGCGCAGAGGGTTGGGGCGGATCGATGGATTGGGGGAGAGATAAGGTCACTTTTGTGTCCAGCTTAAAAATAGTAATATTTTTGTCTTCCCAAACTCTCTAAGTAATACTTTTGTCATTTTTTCAAAGATCAAATGTGAAAGTAAATAATAAGTGAAGATTAATTTATGAAGGTGTTAATATTTTCAGGATAATTCAAAGAGTGTATCTTATCAAATGGGACAGTATTTTTTAAGTAAATTAATCAAGTCTAAATTTTTTTGAAATGGTTGAAGTTAGGTCATAATTATTATTTCAGTTTTATTTCTCAAATGTCAATTAGTTGCCTCTCAAGTTTTGTTTCTAAAACTCGTTAGGCGTTAGTCGGGCGGTTGAGTGGCGCCTAGCGTCTAGGCGGCCGCCTAGGCCGATTTTTTGGCCGACTAGTGTTCTACAGTTAGGGCCAACTAGGCCGATTAATCGGTCCGACCAGGCTGATTTTTAGAAAAGAGAGTATGATCAAAGGTCATGACATCTTTCATAATGCGGTCGAACAATGACAGTTGCATGCGAAAGCGGCGCTAGAATAATCATCCTTCGAGAGACTTCATCCAGTTTCTCAACCACGGTTAATGTGCTCACATCTATCAGAGATCATTGTAACAAAGGAAGTCATCATAGTCATGCACACACGTTGAGAATTGGCATCATCTTCTTCATCTTTATCAATGGATTCGTCTAATCAACGAAAAGGACTCATAATTGACTTTTGAACTTGTTGCAAGTGATTTGAAAATGGAAAGAGTGAAAATGAGTGGTATGACACAATAGATTGAGATGTTTTTATTACAAGTGTAAAGATTAAAGATGATCCAATGTAAAATGAATGGAAACAAGTTTATAAGAGAATCTAATGTTAAATGAATGAACACATCCAGTGGAGAAGAGAATTCAATGTTAAATGAATGGACACATCAAGTGGAGAAGAAAATTCAATGTAAAATTAACGGACACATTAAATGGAGTATAAATCTGATGCTTGGTCATACAAAATAAGTCCATATACTTATTACAAGTGGAGAAAAGAAACTAATTTGCAGTGAATGAATACGCCAATATTATAGTACTATCATCACAGGTTGAGATGGAGTAGGAATTTAATGTGAATAGTCATACAAAGTTGTTACATACTACCTTCGTCTTATTTCTGATGTCTTCTTGTAGTATGACACAATCATTAATAATGTAATTGAAAAGTAAAAAAAATTGTAATTGAATAAAGTGTAATGGTATGAATAACATATTCAGTCAAAAAATGAAACATATTACTCATTTTAGAACAATTCAAAAAGGAAAGTAAGAGTGTAAGACAAACAACATGGGATGGAGAGAGTAACTTTTGGCAACTGAAAATGAGAACTCAATGCGAAGTGAAAGAATACAACATTCACTTGAATATTGTTGCTACAAGTTCAATTGCATTAAGATGGTGTGAATGGTCATATAAATTTCACACAAAGTTTTATAAATTTCACACAAAGTTTTGTTACATGTTCGAAAGAGAGTGAGCGATAACCAAAATGTACTTGAAACAATTTAATTTTTATAATCACAAAAAGTAAAAAAGATTAATTTAACCAAATTTCCATTTTTTTAAATCTAAATGCACATTTTAAAATTTTATAATAGTTCAAAAAAAGTTAAAAACATTATATATAACATATTAATGGTGCCAAAATGCAGCAAAACTATATTGACGAAGTAGATATATATAGAGAATCAGATCAGAATTGACCAATACTTCAGAGCAGGCCTTGTAGCACACCAATGTGTAGCATGACACACCTGACCCCCCAAAACATGGATTTATTTGTCCAAGAACTTGACTAGTTCACTCGTAGCCATAATGTCATAACCAAGGTTGTTAAAATCATATTCAGAAATGAAATCGGTAAATCGTCAAAGATATACTACGATCTACATATACCACATAGTTTTCTTGATTAGTGATGGTCATGTATGACCAATGATATTTGTTAATACAAATTATTTAAAATATTAAAATTATATGGAAATATACTTTGTTAGAAATACTCTAATAAGGGTATAAAGTTTTAAATTCATACAAATATAGTAACTAATGTCATTGCTCAAAACTTATAGAAATTGAAGTTTTTTAGGGCAGAAGTGGTATAAAATAAATATACATTAAAAGAAACCTACAATTTATTAATATTGAGTCATCTCATTACTTAATATTATACATATGATGTTTCAAATAAGATTTGTGTAAACTATTTTTCTATTTAAATGAATGGAATAATAAACATTAAGGTATTAGACATGATGGAGTATATGGCCCGGGGACATCCGACCCACAGACTCCTGCTCCTCCTACACGGGCCCATCAAGCCCAATGAACACACAAAGACCCAACAAAGTGGCCCAAGCATGAGGAAGCCCACGTCGCACATGTAAATGCCTTCAGCCCTATGGTCGAAGGCTCCGAATTGTAGAAGGCAACTTGATATGGACCTGCTACGCTTTTGAGCATTTCTGGGCAAAATGTTAGCCTTCAGTTATTCCACACCCTCGGTATATAGCCTTTGGTTATATATTGCCTTCGGTATTCGTACCATGCCCTCGGTATTTCACACCTACGCCTTCGGCATACAGCAGACTCGGCGAAGATTCCTTTTAGAGACAAGCAACCACCGCATTTAATGCGGCGTCACGTCCAACCACCGCATTTAATGCGGTGCACATGTCAATGCTGGTGCCACCCCGATTGAGATGACCCTCGGCCGTCAGATGTTTGACACGTGTCCTTGTCTAGCATTTATGGCTACTATAAATAGGAGCCACTTTCCATTGTAACCAAATACTCGAATACACTCTCTCTCTCTTACTTGTTGCTCTGGCTTCTCTCTTGGTTATTCCCCGAAATAACCCCTCGGATAAGCTACCCCCGGGTACACAATCCATCATTTGGTGCTCTCGTTCAGAGGTCGAACAATCAAGTAAGAAACCCTCCCCCTCAGAAAAACTTTCATCGGAATGGGAAGAACCACTCGTGCTCAGTCCAAGACCCTTAAAGACAACAACCTAGGCCCTCGGCGAGGTTGACGCCCCTGGAGCCTCCAACAGGGCTCCTGAGGGTGGAGTCATCCCCGGGTTGGAACAGGCTACTGTCGATCTACGTCTTCAGCTCCAGAGGAATGCCCCCGATGCCCACCTAGGCATCGAAGCTCGAAGGAAGGACCGGAGCGAGAATCAAGTGAGCCCTCCGGTCCTTACTATCGACGTGCAGTCGGCATTCTCTGCCTTCATACAGACGCTCACCCAGAACCCTGGGGCCTTCGGCACTCTGGTGCCATTTCAGCCACAGGTCGGGGAGAACATCGTTCCTCCCCCACCTCCATCCCCATCGTAAACCCTATCCTTCGGATCGGGAACGACGAAGGGGTCGTCGCTCGGGATACCGCCTCCCAGGAAGTTCAGTCCCGGGACCAGCACGGGGCGAAAAAAGATAAGCCCCGGACCTCCACCCTTGAGAGGCTCGGAGGAGTGCAAGATCGCCGAGGAGTCCAAGACCCCCTCGGTGGTAAGGCATTCCAGAGACCTCAGGAGAGCGGAGGATCCATCTCGAGGGCCGACGAGAGGCGTCCCCCTCGGGACAAGGGCAAGGGATTGCTCCATGTTGATGACGCCACGCACCAAATCAACCAAGCTCACTCAGCCCGCGCACAATCACGCGAGACGGAACCACTCCCGAAGGATCACCAGGATGACATCATAGAGGCCCTTCAACGCCGGCTTGATGAGATGGAGGCTCGCCAAGCGCACACAACCGCTTCTGACTCCCATGCGGATCCCAAATATGAGGCCATGCTGGCCAAGATGGAGGAAATGCAAAGGAGGATTGCTGAGGGCTCCAGGGAACCTGTCATCCAGCTTCGGACATGGACGCCTTTTACCCCAAGGGTGTTGACGGCCTAGATTCCAGGAAAATACCGAGGGCAACCCATCAAGCCCTATGACGGGAAGAATGATCCCCAGGAGCATTACAGGAGGTACCAGAACAGTATGATGATGATGATGGAGGCATCAGATGAATATTTATGTCGTTGGTTCCTCTCCACCTTGGAAGGGCCAGCATATGAATGGTTCAACCGATTGCCCGAAGGGAGCATTGACTCATGGCAAGAACTCGCCCAGCGTTTCTTGACGCAATTCACGAGGAGGCACCAATCAAAGAAACACTTCTCCCACTTGCTGACGGTGAGGTAACAGAAGGAGGAAACCCTCCGGGATTTCTTGGAACGCTGGAGGCTGGAGACGGATAAGGTTGACGACACCGACGATGGAACCATTATGGCTCTCTAGCAGGCAGTCCTCTGCATCGGGAACTTTTTAAGGAGTCTTATTATCGAATTGAACCTCCCCGCGATTATATAAAGGCCCTACAACGGGGAGACCGATACGCGGAGGCCGAGGAGGTTGAGAAATGCCACCGAAACCCCGAACAACAACGCCCTAAGGCGGATGACAGGAACCACCGGGGGTCAGGAGCTCCATTCCACCAATCCAAGGGACCGTTACCCTCCGGTGATTGCCCCCAGCATGGCCAAGCCAAGCACGGGGGAGGCTACAAAAACAAACCGAAGGCCTGGGCCCAGTCCGTTTTTCTGGAGCACACTCGGACCCCCTCTGACGCACCCCATCAGCGTCATTCTGGACTACGCCGAGGAGAGGGGGCTAGTGGAGCGAGATTCTAGGGCGCCCCGGGAGGTATACGCCATCAACCCCAAGGAACCCTACTACCGTTTCCACCGGCACCCAGGCCACCAGACCGATGACTACCACCAGCTGAAGGCAGCCATCGAGAAGTTGATAGAACGGGGTCACCTATCCCAATTCATAAGGGGGTATCCTCATTAAGGCCCCCCTGCAAAAGCGAACGCCTGGGTCAATCCAAACACCATTCCCCTCGGCGACCCGAAGGGTAAGAAAAGGGAGATTGGCAACCTCAGCGAGGAAGAGAGGTACAACCAGTGCCAAGAAAAGAAACGCCACATCCACATGATCACCGACGGCAACACAAGTAGAGATTCCACCAGCCAAAGAAAGAAGTGGGCACAATCCCTTTACATAGGGGAAATCACTCATATGCCCCCCGTAAAGCAATTGAGGGAGGAGCCCATTATATTCACCAACGCCGACCTACCCCCGGGTTCCTCCCCCCACAGGGACGCGTTAGTGATCCAGAGCAAGATCAATAACACCATTGTCCACAAAACTTACGTTGACACAGGCAGTTCCGTTAACGTAATGTACCTCAGCACGTTCAAAGAGCTGCATCTGGAGAGGGAGTCCCAATCGGCCCATCCGGACCCCTCTGTTCGGCTTCACCGGAGACACCATCGATTCCGAGGGGGTAATATCCCCCCGTTACTTTTCGGTGACGGGCTCCATAGAGCCAAGCTTGGAGTGGAGTTCGTCATCGTCAACATCGACTGCGCCCACAACATTATCCTCGGCCGGCCTGCCTCGAGGATCTGGAGGCAGTTGATAGAGTAATTGTTTAGAGAGAAGTGCAGTAAATGCTTCAATTAATGATTTTTTCAACCCCTACAACTACTCCCAAATGGAGTATTTATAGAGAAAATGTGGGCCGGGCTCCCAAGTCTTGGGCTTGGGAGGCCCATCTACAACTGGACCACTACTGGGCCGAATACAAGATATGTAGAAATGACTAAGTATGAAATCATGTTCTGTGAGTTCTCCGTGGCCGATGAGGGCGTGGCCGACGGAGACCCGGCCGACGGGGGCACCAGGTTCTCCTGGCTTCTGGACCATATTCTGGGTTGATGTCTCCCTGGCCGATGGAGGCATGGCCGACGGAGACCCTACTAGGTGACGGTTGTGCCTTCTGCTCTTCTGGGTATGTGGGTCCTGGGGCCTGGACCCATATACTCCATCAGCAGTCATCTCCATGAAACACTTATGCCTCAAATTCCCAGCTGAAGGGGGCATCGGGTACTCAAGGGGGAACCAGAAGCTCTCACGCGCCTGCTACCTCCAAATAACAAAGAAGGTTAGTAAGGCTGAGTTCCGTGTAGACACCATCACCGGATCAATAGAAGAGGAAGAGAAGAGGCCGAGGGCAGAACCAGCTGAGGAGGTAGAAGACTTTGCGCTCGACCCAACCAAGCCGGAGAGAGTCATAAAGATTGGAGCCAAGCTCCCCGAAGACCTGAAGAATGGCATCACAGAAGCCCTTCGCGCCTACTCCGTTGTTTTTGCATGGGGGCCGGAGGACATGCCTGGCATCAGCCGAAGGGTAATCACTGATCGCCTGGCGGTGGACCCTTCCTCAAAACCTGTGCAGCAGAGAAGAAGGCCCCTCTCGGCCGAAAAGAGGGACTTCGTGAAGAAGGAAGTCGCTATGCTCCTCTCCATCAAACACATCAGGGAGGTAAAATACCCTTCATGGCTAGCTAATGTGGTCCTAGCGCAAAAACCACCCTCCTTCCGCATGTGCGTGGATTACACAGACCTGAATAAGGCCTGTCCTGTGGACCCCTTCCCCCTGTCTAACATTGATCAACTGGTAGATGAAACGACGGGCTGCGAAATCATTTCATTCCTCGACGCTTTTCGCGGATACCACCACATCTTCATGCACGATGAAGATGCCGAGAAAACGGCCTTCATGACTCCCGAGGGCATCTTCTACTATCTGGTTATGGCCTTCGGCTTGAAGAATTTCGGCGCTACTTACACCCGGATGGTGGCCAGAGTCTTTCAAGCCGTCCTAGGACACACCATGGAGGATTACGTCGACGACATGATCGTCAAGAGCAAGCGGTCAACCAGCCATGCCGGGGACCTCCGAGAAATCTTCTCCATCATGCAAAAATTCAATCTCCGGCTGAGCCCGAAGAAATGCACCTTCGGCGTGCAAGGAGGCAAGTTTCTGGGCTACATGGTAAGCCAAAGGGGTATTGAGGCCAACCCCGAGAAAATCCAGGTCATCATCAACATGGAGCCTCCGCGCAACGTCAAAGAAGTCCAGAGGTTGACGGGCCGTTTGGCATCCCTCAACCGCTTCCTATCCAAATCAGCAGAGAAGGCCCTTCCCTTCTTCCAAGTAATGAGAAAGACCGCCGGCTTCGAATGGACTACTGAGTGCCAAGTAACCTTTGAAGAATTGAAAGAGTACTTATCTTCACCCTCTGTGCTCTCCAAGCCCAAGGTGGGGGGACATTATACCTTTATCTTGGCGTTAGCCCCACGGCCATCAGCTCAGTTCTGATCCGGGAGGAAGACGACATTCAACACGCCATCTTCTATGTCAGCAAGACCCTCAGGGAAGCAGAACTCAGGTACTCTCCCGTGGAGAAAACAGTATTAGCTATCGTTTGGAGCGTCAAGAAGCTGAGCCATTACTTCCAAGCCCATCCGGTCCAGGTCCTCACACATCAACCCCTCAGCGCATTGATGAGGAGCCCCACCGTCTCTTCTCGAATGGTGAAATGGGCTATCTTCCTTAGCCAATACAACATAGATGGTGTGTAGCATATAATGGGCACACAACTATTTTTTTTACCCAAGGAAGTAGGGTGTCGAACCACAGAGAAGCGGGAAATAAAATAATTAAGCACAAACTAAGGATTAAAGTTGGGAATGCGTTTCTTTTGATTTTTGTTTACTTGGAAAAGTAATTAAATAAAAGTGATTGAGAGAAGAGACTTTTATCAACACAAAGTTCAACCAATAGCAAGTAGGGGTAGAAATTGGCAACTAATTGTTTAATGCTCATTTGTAAGACATAATTGCTAATTTTATTCTTAGATAGATTGTGAGAAGTTGTAGATAAATATTTTAGGACCCAACACAAGTCACCTAAAATAAGTAACTAGTCAACATTTCCCAGTGATGGCCAAAACGAGACTAGTTGTTTAAGTGCAACGACAACCTTAATTATTAACTATATTATTTACCCAACCCCGTGGTGTAAATAATATAATTAAATAATTAAATTCTCCCGTAAAACTTCAATCCGGGACAAGGTAAAAGAAGTTTAACGGTGTGTTCAGAAAGTGTTCATTTGTGCATTTAACAAACAATATGTTTATGATTGAGTACTCATAATATATATCATAAACACAACATAATTAAGTTTTTGGACACAACAATCTAAATAGAATAAACTTAACAATTAAAATCAATACAAATTAAAACATTATAAGAACAATTAATTAACCAATTTCTAGCCCCAAATTTATTTAGCTATACATGTTGGGAAACATAGAAATAGATGAATCCATGATTAAAGTACAAGATTTAATGAGATAAGGAAGATCAAACTTGTGATTGATGACAATCCTTGGAGCTTTGATGCTAATCTTGACTTAATCTTGGATGAGAAAGTGATTAGTTATGGTTGAAGATGGGTTGATGATTTGGGGTTGAGAAATGAAGAGAGAAGGAGGAGGAAATGTTTCTGGGATGTTTAGAGAGAGGTTGGTCCGAGCTTATGTGTGGAGGAAGATGGATTAAGGCAATATAATGATAAGGTGATTAATCATTAATTGCTGGGATTTACGGAACAGATGAGTTTATGTATAACAAAGCGCAGTAAAGTTTCAACAGTGGCAGGTAGCTCAACGGATAAGCCCTTCAGGGGAAAACTCGGAGATTGTGGGATCGATTCTCGGCTTCAACATTTTGTTCTTTTCTTTGCCGCGTTCAGAAGGAATATAACAATTGCCAGCTGAATATGTACAACATTGATCACTTAGCACACTGGTTGTAGTAGGCATTCTTCTACCTTTTCTATAGGGATCGAATCCCAGCTCCATCATTTTTATTTTTTGCTTCTTTTCTTCAATTTACTCCTTATTTGTTTTGAAGAAAATTCCACTTTTATTGACTTCCAACTTGAACTTTTATTTTCTTCTTTTGTTCACTCTAATGTATCCAAATAGCATCAAAAGTACCTGAAAATACAAAATACCCGTGTAGGGACTGCACAAGTACAAACTAACGACAAATTATAAAAATATGTACAAAAGTAGAATTTTAATAACTAAAATTAATAACAAACTAAGCCTAAAAAGTGTGTAAAATATAAGTACATCAAATCCCCCACACTTAGGCTTTTGCTTGTCCTCAAGTAAAACAAACAACAAACACAAAAATATACATAATTTTGTAAAATTTACAAACATAACTAAACAAATCACTCATACATCTCTAATGTCCACTAAACGGTCCAATACCCTGAAATGTCACAAAATAACGCAATGAGAGTAAACTGAGTATTTGTGCCTATCACTAAGATTTTCAAATCAAACTTTTAACACAAACACCTATAGATCTAAATTAGTTCGTGTTATGCAGAACAAGTTTCTCCAATCCGCTAAATTCAAAAAATGACACAAATAGATCAATTAGGACTTTTTTCGGTGAGTGGCGAGATTAATGAGTGTGGCTAGTTGGAAGGAAAGTTTGGTGTAAGAATATACAGAGAGAGTTAGATTGTACTAATAGTGAGCGGATCATCACAAGAATTTACAAAAACTTGGAGCATACAAAACAATGAGAAATATAAACATGAAAAGTAAAAAAATGGGGTTTTACAAAAGAAATTACAACAAGAATTTAATGTGCCTCTTTGTTTTTTTTTTTGTTTTTTTTTTCTTTTTTTTTCAATTTTTCTTCTTTTTTTTTCTTTCTTTTTTTTTGATTTTTTTTTCAAAGAGGGCACACACTGAACATTTCAATGAAAAATTAACCCCAAAATTTACAAACAAATATGTACTTCACTCATATGACACTTAATAGTAGCTCCATTTATTCGCTCACAAGTAACAAGACAATCTACTCTAGGATTAGAAAAGATTAACTTTGGATAGGGCTTCAGAAGGTTATGTATTTACAAGGTTACAAAAAAAAGAATTAGTAACAAGTGAAGTAAGATATTTTACACTTGTACACTGAAAGGGTGAAACGGGGTTACTAGGGAAAGTGTTATTTATTTACAAAGGGATACTGTTTGGCTTCATGGGTAAACAAAGATGGCCTAAATCATTTCTAAATGTGTCAAGTTCAAATAAAATTTCAAGGAGAATAAATGTATGAACATCTTAATCTGCATAAACTTTCACTAAGTCAACTATTAACCAATAAATTGGAAAAATAAAATCTAAGGTGTTTAATGTTAAAGTGTTAAAAAGAATCAAGTTCAAAGCTAATACTAAGTTACTCTCAAAAAATTATAGTGACACTTCTCAAACTCAAACCACATTTCGTCAAAAGAGGTGAATGAATAGTTTTAAAAAGTTATGGAAGTAACTAGTAACAAAAAGTGTAAACTAATGTGTTGTTTGTCTATTGTTGTATTTTGGACAAGACTGGTCTTTACTTTTCTAAACAAACACACAAAATAAAAATAAAAGAAAATAAAATCACACAAACAAGCAAGGGAAAAAAAAATCACACAAGAAATCAGGGTCAAACTATCCACTCCCCCACACTTAAAATTTGCACTGTCCTCAGTGGAAAAAAATTTAAAGGAGTGTAAAGAAAACTTCCCTGAAGTTCGGACGGATGATGTTGAGATGTCTTTTCGAGCGGATGTGGCCCCTTTAGAGTCCAAAAAAAAACCTAGACATTATTTTCTTCTTTTTCTTTTTTTTTTTGCTTTTTTTTTGTTTTTTTTTTGAAATTTACAAACTTGGGTTGCCTCCCAAGAAGCGCTCGTTTAAGGTCATTAGCTTGACCCATGCCTCTTCATTCATATTTCGGATCAGTGAGGCAATACACAGAAGTTGCCTCTTGTCTCTCACCATCATGGTATAGTTTCAACCGTTGTCCATTTACCATGAGTTTTTGGCCGCTTTTGTTTAACAACTGGACTGCTCCGGATGGAAATGCTTCAAGTACTTCAAATGGACCCAACCATCGGGTCTTTAGCTTTCCGGGAAAGAATTTGTAACGTGAGTTAAATAGAAGAACTTTATCTCCCCGTTCAAATTTTCTTCGGCTGATCACTCGGTCATGCAAAACTTTTGTTCTCTCCTTATAGAGTTTTGAGCTATCATAAGCTGCAAGTCTGAATTCTTCAAGTTCATTTAGCTGCAACAGTCGTTTCTCACCCGCCAATGCAAGATCCATGTTGAGTGTCTTGATTGCCCAATATGCTTTGTGTTCAACCTCAACAGGAAGGTGACATGCTTTCCCATACACCAATTTGAATGGTGAGGTGCCGATGGGATTTTTGTAAGCAGTGCGATATGCCCATAGTGCATCATCAAGCTTTTCGGCCCAATCCTTTCGGGAAGGATTAACAACTTTCTCGAGAATTGTTTTGATCTCTCGGTTTGAAAGTTCCACTTGGCCATTTGTTTGCGGGTGGTATGGAGTTGAGAGTCGGTGGTGAATCCCATATTTGGAAAGGACACGTTCCAATGCTTTGTTACAAAAATGAGTACCATTGTCGGTGATGAAAGATCGTGGAACTCTGAATCGGGAGAAAATATTTTTCTGAATGAATTGGATCACCACTTTGGCATCATTTGTCTGTGTGGCAGCTGCTTCTACCCATTTAGAAACATAATCAACAGCTACAAGGATGAACTCTTTCCCATTTGATTTTGGAAATGGCCCCATAAAATCGAGCCCCCACACGTCAAACAATTCGACTTCAAGTATGCCATGTTGAGGCATTTCATTCTTTCTTCCAATATTGCCGGTACGTTGGCAACGATCACAGTTTTTCACAAATTTGCTTGCATCTTTGAAAATAGTGGGCCAAAAGAAACCTGATTGTAAAATCTTTGCAGCAGTACGAGAGCTTCCATGATGTCCCCCATATGGTGAGGAATGACAATGGTGCAAGACATTTGAAACTTCATCTTCGGGCAAACACCGTCGAATGACTCCATCGGCACACCTTCTATAGAGAAAAGGTTCTGCCCAATGATAGTAGCGGGAGTCATATTTTAACTTCTTCTTTTCAGTATGTGTAGCACCATGTGGAATTACCCCATGAGAAAGGTAATTTGCAATATCGGCAAACCATGGATCAAAATTTTGAGCAGTCATAAGTTGTTCCCCAATGAAATAATCATTGATTGGCATCTTGGTATCACAAGGAATCTCAAGTCGAGATAAATGATCGGCAACAACATTTTCAGATCCTTTTCTATCACGGATTTCCATGTCAAACTCTTGTAGTAACAAATCCACCGCAACAACCTCGGTTTTGCATCTTTTTTGTTGATGAGGTATTTGATAGCCGCATGGTCGGTATAGACAATAATCTTGCTACCGATAAGGTAAGATCGGAATTTTTCAATGGCAAAAATTATGGCAAGGAACTCTTTTTCAGTTGTGGCATAATTTGATTGGGCATCATCAAGAGTATGACTTGCATAATAAATGGCATATACTTCTTTGCCTTTGCGTTGACCCAGAATGGCTCCCACGGCATAATCGCTTGCATCACACATGAGTTCAAAAGGAAGACTCCAATCAGGTGGCCGAATAATTGGTGCAGTAGTTAAGGCCAACTTGAGTTTTGAAAATGCGGCGCAGCAAGATTCATCAAAATTAAACTTCACATCTTTTGAGAGAAGATTGGTTAAAGGCTTTGATATTTTTGAAAAATCCTTGATAAACCGTCGATAAAATCCCGCATGGCCAAGAAAACTGCGAATCCCCTTGATGGAAGAAGGGGGTGGCAATTTATCAATTACTTCTATCTTTGCCGGGTCTACTTCAATGCCCTTTTCAGAAATTTTGTGCCCAAGCACAATGCCTTCGGTTGCCATGAAATGACATTTTTCCCAGTTGAGGACAAGATTTGCTTCTTCACATTTGCTCAGCACTTTATCAAGATGTTCAAGACAATCATCAAATGAAATCCCATAAACCGAGAAATCATCCATAAAAACTTCCATAATTTCCTCGACAAGATCCGAGAAAATAGCTAGCATACATCTTTGAAAGGTTCCTGGTGCATTACATAATCCAAACGGCATTCTGCGATATGCAAAAGTACCATAAGGACATGTAAATGTCGTCATTTCTTGATCATCCGGATGAATTGGGATTTGGAAAAATCCAGAGAATCCGTCAAGAAAACAGAAATATTTGTGCTTAGCCATCCTCTCCAGCAATTGATCAATAAAGGGAAGTGGAAAATGATCTTTCCGGGTAGCCTTGTTTAGCTTGCGGTAATCAATGCACATGCGCCATCCAGTGACTATTCGTGTAGGAATCAGCTCGTTTTTGTCATTCTTTACAACAGTAATTCCTCCTTTCTTTGGCACCACATGGATAGGACTTACCCATTTACTGTCCGAAATGGGGAAAATGATACCCGAACTCAATAGTTTAAGAATTTCTTTTTTAACAACATCTTTCATGTTCGGGTTGAGGCGTCTTTGGTGCTCAATGCTCGGCTTGTGATCATCCTCCAAGTAAATGCGGTGCATGCAATAAGATGCCTTTATGCCAACAATATCATCAATGGTGTAGCCAATAACTCTGCGATGGCTTCGTAAGACTTGCAATATTCTTTCCACTTGTTGAAGATCTAAATCAGCATTCACAATGACAGGATAAGTGGAATTCGGGCCAAGAAAAGCATATTTTAAAGTAGATGGAAGTGGTTTGAGTTCTACTTCAGGTGCTTTTCCTTTGACATTCAAGGATTGATCTTCAAGATTAAGCACTTCAAATTTAAGTGCTTTAGGCATCGGTAAAGATATGCTTTGCAACATTTCGAGACATAAATTCACCATTTCATTGGCTTGCTCATCTGCAATAGATTCTCGTATAGTGTACTCCATGGGATCTTTAGAAAGCCAATAAGACTTATCAAATGTCTTTATGATACAAGAGTCTATAACATCAGCATAGTAACCATCAAGGACACAAGGTGTATCCTTACTCAGCTCTTGTACATTGAATTCGATCTTATCATCCCCAATCTCAAGGATAAGGGTACCCTTTTTTACGTTGATAATTGCTCCTGCCGTAGCTAGAAAGGGTCTCCCGAGAATAACAGGAACTCGAGCATCTTCCTCCATATCCAAGACAACAAAGTCTCCCGGGATATAATACTTGTCAATTTTGACAGGAACATCTTCAAGAATGCCGATAGGATATTTGACAGATCGATCAGCCAATTGTAACGCCATTGTTGTTGGTTTGGGATCCCCCAAGTGTAGCTTTTGACATAGTGAATAGGGAATTAAGCTAACACTTGCACCAAGATCACAAAGAGCTTTGTTAACTTTAGATCCACCAATGATACATGGAATTGAGAAGCTTCCAGGATCACGTAACTTGGGTGTAATTTTGTTTTGGATTATGCCACTACATTCTTGGCTCATTGCAACAGTGGCTGGATTCTCCTTCTTCTTTGTGAGAATATCTTTGAGAAATTTAGCATATGAAGGAATTTCTGTAATGGCATCAAGCAATGGAATTGAGATATCCAACTGTTTGATAACATTCAAAAATTTAGTTCTCCGCTCCTCCATATTAGCTTTCTTCAATCTGTTCGGATAAGGAACTGGGGGAATATATTTCCTTACCGAACTGTTTTTTTCTTTCTTCGACCCTTCACGATCATCAGATGATTTCGGCATGGTACCGACATCAAGTTCATTGTTGTTGTTTCCACCTTTCTGTTGTTGCTCGGCCCTTTCCTCCAACACTTCATGTTCTTGTTCATCATTAGAACGGGGCGAGGATTGATGTTGTTTCCCACTCCGAGTAGTGACGACATTGATTTGCTCCCTCGGGTTTTCAGGACAAGCAGGAAGCTTACCTGTCACCTTAGTTGATGATGTGGATGCTTGATTAGCAATTTGATTCTCAAGCATCTTGTTGTGAGCTCGAAGTTGACCAAGTTCTTCGGTGATTTGTTTCAGGGTTTCAGCTTGAGATAATTGGGACTTGAGAAGTTGGTCAACAATGTTTTCTAGGACAGGAGTTTGGGTTGTTTCAGGAGTGGGGAGAAGTGGTTTTTGCTGTTGAGTTGAAGGGTATAGAAGATTTTGAGTGGGTTTATAGTGTTGCTGGTTCACAATACCTTGGCCACCTCTGACTTGCTGTTGTTGGTTTTGGAAACCGGGTGGTGCACTCCGATAAGATGGTTGTGGATTAGCAGCTCCATTTTGATTGCTCCAGGAAAACCGGGATGGTTTCTTCCTTGAGGATTGAAATTACCAAATTGATTTTGTTGAGGCTGCCTGTTGTAGTTGACATAGTCAACTTGTTCCATTGCTTCCCATGGACAAGTAGACTGATTGTGTTGTCCACCGCAAGATTCACACATAAGAATGGGAATGGGAGCTGGAGTTGATGTTGAGTTTTGCACAAGAGAGACTTGTGCCATCTTTTGGATAAGATTCATCATGCTATCGACCTTTGTGGTTATGGCCGACATTTGATCAACTTCATACATGCCTCCAATTTTGGGTGGAGCAGATGATCGCTCAGAATATCATGTTGATCCATTTGATGAAATACGCTCCATCAATTCTTCTGCCTCTTCAAGTTCCAGGCACATGAATGATCCATTTGCTGACGCGTCCACGAGTATCCGAGAATTTTCATGTAGGCCTTCATAGAAAGCCGTCATCAAGTGCCAGTTTTGGATGTTATGATGTGGACACTGTCGCTGAAGATCTTTGAATCTTTCCCAAGCCTCGTAGAGGGGCTCATTGGGATTTTGTTTGAAATTTTGAATCATTCTTCGGATTTTCGCCGTTTTAGATGGCGGGAAAAATCTTTTGAGAAATTCACCATGAAGTTGATCCCAAGTGGAGAAGTGATTATCCGGAAAAGAGTCAAGCCAACTCTGAGCTCGATCCCGTAGAGAGAATGGGAACAGGCGTAGTCTGACAGCATCAGTTGGCACACCATTGATTTTGAAGGTGTTGCAAGCTCGAAGGAACTTTGTGATGTGATTATTTGGATCCTCCGTTGGCGCTCCGCCAAATTGAGTATTTGAAACCATATGAATGATACCAGGCTTGATTTCAAAGTGATTCATGTTAACCTCTGGTGGAATAACACTGTCATGCTCATCCACGGGAGGCGTAACATAATCATACAGCGGTTTTCTGGTCCTCATAACCTGATCCACGATTTGTTGATCGGGTACCTGCTCATTAACAACAATATCGTTTGACATTTTTTTTATTTTTTTCTGTTCACGTATGTGCTTTTCAATGTCAGAGAAGAATAACAATTCACAATTCGCACCACGTGAACGTGTGAGCATAAGCAGAAGGGAATTGGGATTGGGGAAAGAGAGAGAGAGAGAGAGAGAGAGAGATGAAAAGAAAAAATAAATGCAGAATTATTAATTAATTAAGGTTCGCACGTAGTCAATTGGTATAAACCGAATAAGACTAGTGAGCCCTTAAAGCAGTATGAATATATACAGTAATTCACCAGGATGCGGCTAGGCCGACAGATATGGTGATTTGAGGGAAGAAAAAAAAATAGCTACAGTAATAAATACAGTCTCCACCAAGATGCAGCTATGCCGACAGTCTGGGGATTATTAAGAAAATAAAAATAAAAATAAAAAGTGCACTCCACCAACAAGTGGACACGGCCTACAAGCTTGGGGATGCAAAATTTAAAAAAAAATGCTGAAATTAAAGTGCGGAAATTAAATTGCGATAATATAAGTGCACAAATTAAATTGCGATAATTAAAGTGCAGAAATTAAAAAGTTGGGGTTTGAACCACCATAAAAAGAAAAATAAACGGTCCGACCATATAGGCGGAGTATCCTTTGAATTATAATGTACAAGTAAGCGGTCCGACCATATAGGCGGAGTATCCTTTTAATTAAAATGTAAAAATATGTTCAATGGTCTGAATGTCCAGATATGTTCAGTCAACAAGTCCAACTCCAATGCTCAGGTAAGATGATTAATCACAGTCCTTTTTTTTTTTTTTTTTGATTTTTTTTTGAACTTTAATTAATCACTTTTTTTTAACCTGCAAAGGTAAAAAGATAACAACAGAATAATATACACACAATTTACAATAACTAAAATCGAAAGTTTATGCTCTCAATTTTTTTTTCAAAACCGCTTCCCCGGCAACGGCGCCAAGTTGGTGTGTAGCATATAATGGGCACACAACTATTTTTTTTACCCAAGGAAGTAGGGTGTCGAACCACAGAGAAGCGGGAAATAAAATAATTAAGCACAAACTAAGGATTAAAGTTGGGAATGCGTTTCTTTTGATTTTTGTTTACTTGGAAAAGTAATTAAATAAAAGTGATTGAGAGAAGAGACTTTTATCAACACAAAGTTCAACCAATAGCAAGTAGGGGTAGAAATTGGCAACTAATTGTTTAATGCTCATTTGTAAGACATAATTGCTAATTTTATTCTTAGATAGATTGTGAGAAGTTGTAGATAAATATTTTAGGACCCAACACAAGTCACCTAAAATAAGTAACTAGTCAACATTTCCCAGTGATGGCCAAAACGAGACTAGTTGTTTAAGTGCAACGACAACCTTAATTATTAACTATATTATTTACCCAACCCCGTGGTGTAAATAATATAATTAAATAATTAAATTCTCCCGTAAAACTTCAATCCGGGACAAGGTAAAAGAAGTTTAACGGTGTGTTCAGAAAGTGTTCATTTGTGTATTTAACAAACAATATGTTTATGATTGAGTACTCATAATATATATCATAAACACAACATAATTAAGTTTTTGGACACAACAATCTAAATAGAATAAACTTAACAATTAAAATCAATACAAATTAAAACATTATAAGAACAATTAATTAACCAATTTCTAGCCCCAAATTTATTTAGCTATACATGTTGGGAAACATAGAAATAGATGAATCCATGATTAAAGTACAAGATTTAATGAGATAAGGAAGATCAAACTTGTGATTGATGACAATCCTTGGAGCTTTGATGCTAATCTTGACTTAATCTTGGATGAGAAAGTGATTAGTTATGGTTGAAGATGGGTTGATGATTTGGGGTTGAGAAATGAAGAGAGAAGGAGGAGGAAATGTTTCTGGGATGTTTAGAGAGAGGTTGGTCCGAGCTTATGTGTGGAGGAAGATGGATTAAGGCAATATAATGATAAGGTGATTAATCATTAATTGCTGGGATTTACGGAACAGATGAGTTTATGTATAACAAAGCGCAGTAAAGTTTCAACAGTGGCAGGTAGCTCAACGGATAAGCACTTCAGGGGAAAACTCGGAGATTGTGGGATCGATTCTCGGCTTCAACATTTTGTTCTTTTCTTTACCGCGTTCAGAAGGAATATAACAATTGCCAGCTGAATATGTACAACATTGATTTCTTAGCACACTGGTTGTAGTAGGCATTCTTCTACCTTTTCTACAGGGATCGAATCGCAGCTCCATCATTTTTATTTTTTGCTTCTTTTCTTCAATTTACTCCTTATTTGTTTTGAAGAAAATTCCACTTTTATTGACTTCCAACTTGAACTTTTATTTTCTTCTTTTGTTCACTCTAATGTATCCAAATAGCATCAAAAGTACCTGAAAATACAAAATACCCGTGTAGGGACTGCACAAGTACAAACTAACGAAAAATTATAAAAATATGTACAAAAGTAGAATTTTAATAACTAAAATTAATAACAAACTAAGCCTAAAAAGTGTGTAAAATATAAGTACATCAAATCCCCCACACTTAGGCTTTTGCTTGTCCTCAAGTAAAACAAACGGATCTTAGATATCATCAACTTCATCACCACAGGGCAACTGCCCGAAGATGAAATCCACGCGAAACTTGCCAAGCTAAGGGCCCCCACCTACACCCTCGAAGAAGGGAGTCTATACAAACGGTCTTACAACGGTACGTTGCTTCGATGCCTTCATCAAGACATATGTAAAATACAAGAGTTATTAATTAACTCAAGTATCCATTACATTCATTAAATATATTATCGGTCTCATTACTATTTAGAATTATATATCAAGATCAGATAGTCAATAGTCATAATTTTGAATAATCCTCATTAAAATCATTATAAAATTATGTTACGCCTTTGTACGATTCTAAATGATTTTACAATTTTATACGACGTTATAAGTTTACGATTTCACCTGCGAGGCTACAATTCAAATCGGTTATTAGTGTGAAATTATAAATCACACGATTTTATGATTTAAATCAAGATTTTCACAACGTGATCGATTATTTCAATTACGTTCAGAATTTCACATGATATTATTTTACCAAAAGTAAAAACTCACTAGCAAGGATAGGACTCGAAAGATAGACGAATTATCAATCCGGGACCTGAAAGATGAAATGTATGAATATAGGATTCGAAAGATGAAAAACTATCCATCTAGGACCTAATATTTCACAGGTTTTGATTTATTTAATTTTTTATTAATTCCATTGCTAATATTTGGGGAAATTTTGTTCACATAATATTTTCATCTAGGGCCTCATACTTTGCTTCGTTGGGTCCTATATCGATACATTTCATCTTTCAGGTCCCGAGTTGATAGTTTGTATATCTTTCAGGTCCCGGATTGATAAAATTCCTTTACTATAAGCAATCTATTTTCTCTTTTTTATAACTCATAGAGATATTAATTAGGGTTTAACATTAAAATGGGAAATTTCTCAAAATAATAGAAAACATTTAGAATTTCAAAATAAGAACATTATGTTTTAATTCCCCAAATAAGAATAATTGTTTTAAATTTTGAAAAAATTGCCATATTTGAAGCTTGATAATCCCAAACATGGGAATAATTACTCTTATTTTGGAATTCACAAAAGTTTTTACTCATATTTAGGTCAATTTCTTTTGAAAAAAGACATATTTTCTAATTATGAGAAGTTAGCATGCAAATTTCAAAAAGTGGAGCTTCAGTAAATAAAAAAGTAATGCATACTTTACAGTTCTACATCTTTGTTAGGGTGTTTGGATCTAATTTTTAAAACTGCTTCTGCTCCTTCAGGGAGCAGAAGCAGAAGTTGGAGTGTTTGGGTGAAAATGCAGAAGTGATTCTGGTGCTCTAATTTACTCCTAGAATAAGTTTTTTTAGAAGCTGGGGGGTACCAGCTTCTGAAAACTGATTCTGATTCTGCCTTAAAAAAAGAAGCAGAATCAGAATCAGTTCCACACCCCTTAATAGTTAGAGTTTCAAAAATTTAAAGAAATATTTGCATACACTAAAATAAAAGTTGTTTACAAAAAATATAATCTTTTAAAAGGTACTATAATCATACGTAGTAATAATTTATATGAAATAACCTCAAATTTAAACCGACAAGTGTCCAATAATTCGAAACTGAATTTTGTTTCAGATCAAGTAAGCCTCTTTTTTAGCTAAAAAAACTCCAAAATTGAGATCTAGTAAGCCTCTTATTTAGATAAAAGGAGTCCCTTAGAAGTCATAGAATTTCAAATTGAGAACAAATTAAATTTTGTGGGATCTATAATATACTATGTTGAGAAATTCATTCTCAAATAGGATCTAATCTCACTAAACATGATAAATTCATGGAATCAAACGATAAGAACACTAACTGATTGAGGAGAAACCGAACGTTGATGGTGCCGTAGAAGATGAAGCCATGACGTTTAGATTCTTTAAGGATACAAACCCCTATTGTGATTAGTCATGGATCTGGTCTGGTCCGACCGGTCCAGGAACCGGACTGGCCCACTACTGTGCGGGACCGGTCCGACCTGGGTGACCGGTACCGGTACCGGGCTTAGGCCCGACCCGAGGAGGTAACCGAGGGCGGTTCTGGGACTCCAAAAGGGTGAACCAGTCCGGCCGGTCTGAGCCTGGTTCGGCCTTTTTTTTTTGGGTTTTTTGGGTTTGGGCTGGGTTTAGGTGGGCTAGGCTGGGTGTTTCCGAGGGGTTTGGGGGGTGAAGGTTGAAATAAATAAGAAAACACAAAAAAAAAAATTAAACCGGAACCGACCCGGCCCGGAACCGGCAGACTCCTGGGCCGGTCTCGAGCCTTACCCAAAACCATCCAAGCCCGACCGAGCCCAGGCCCAAACCGGAACCGGACCGCGCCCGGTCCACCCCTAATTGTGATGGATTGATCAATTCTCATCCGAGTCTCTTTATAATGGTGTTCTTGAGACCCTAATGAAGAGGCGTGTTTCGTCTTTTTGCCGTAAGAACAAGAACCGAACGGGTGTATATGTTTGTATCAAAGAGAAACCTATTTGGACCCTTATGTATTATTTAATGTTAAAACATATCCATCATATTTTAACTATACATAAATAAAAAGATCAAATCTGTCATATGGCAAACTTAATGATAATACATAAATGTCTCCAATATTTATTAAATTATATAAATGATCCAAGGGCATTTAAATGGAATATTTTCCAACATTCTCCCACTTGAAGTCCTTGAACTTGAGATCATTTATACATAAGTTAAAGTAAATGTTGACAAAAAAAAATCATCTTATTCAATAATATTATCAAAGCAAACAAATACAATCTAACGGGTCAATATAACCCAGGACCCCCATTAATCATATTTTGACACTTCTTAAAGAGTATAAGGATTAATATAAGCCAAATGACATTAAATTTAGGGTATTATGTTTGTCTATTAAATAACTTTGTGTGCACAAAAAAGAATAGACAAAACATACTTAAGGAGGAATTCTAAATCAAGTACTTGAAAATATTAAATAAGATAACTAATCAGACACTATGCTATTAATTCCTAAAAGAAAATAATTATATTGATTTTAAATTGATAGAAATAGTTAGATTATTGAGAACGAGTGAAATTGTGTGTATTTCGAAAGACACAAGCGAAATTATGTTTGTTCAAAGTTATAGCAAAAATTGCAGCAAACCCGAGTGTCTGGAACTTGTCTCCAAAAGAAAATAGAATGTTGAAAAACTACTGCTATTAGTACAATTTTACACCCAATAACCGAAGTGAGAAAACATATGAACAACATAAACCTAAGGAATTAACCAACTGTGTAGAAAAGGAAAATGTTCCGCGATTAATGGAACCAAATGAAATTAGTTGGAGGGAAAAAATAATGAGATAAAATGTACCAGCAATTCAAATCTATGAGAACAAGGTGACAACATCTCTGCGGTACCCTCGGACAATCAACAACCTAGGCACGTTGTCTACCAAGAGGTCCATATACTCCATATAGAAGTAGGACGGGTGGTTGAGGGGCGGAGATGGAAGACTCACAAAAACAACAGCCGCCATCCTAGAGTACTTCAATATCGTCGAGTTGAGCTTCAGAGTGGTATAAAGGAACTTCTCCACCTGTTGCTCATTGACCTGAACGTCCTTCCCGTCGGCCATCAAAAACCGTCTCCCTTCCCTCTCAGCTTCCTCCTTCATTCCCGCCAGGTAACTACTGATTCTCTGCTGCGCACCGGCAAAAGCCTCCATGGTCTCTCGTTGTTCCTCACCCGGCGGGGTTTCCCAAGACTTCATCGAGACCACAATCACCTCCGCTTGCATCCGTAGATCATATAAAAATTTCTTCACATCGGCTTTGAGTTCCTCAGCGTTAGAATCTTCCTCTGCGATGCAGAAAACCTGAATCTTACACCCGTCAAAGCTCGCTTTTGTCAAGAGGAGTTGCGAGAGAAGAAGCATGAGGCCGCCATCTCTAACTATCCAATACAGATCAATGGTGCCATACTGTCGTTGGTACTCATTGGGCCACTCGTCTAAGCCTTTGACGATAACAACTGCTTTGTTGGCGACGATGCAGTCATTTATGATCCCGACAAAGGTTGCGGGAATTTCAAGTAGATTTTCACGTCGCCAGATTTCAGGGTACCGCATCACGACTATATTGGGCTTGAGGTTTCCGAGGCCCATTGTCTGAACAATGCCCCTGAATCCAACTGACATGTTTGGGGCAACAACAATCTCTGCCACACCTTCACATTGCTTGTAGTCAAGGTAGGTGCTTAGGTGATTGCAAGCTGTCTTAGCATCCTCTGCACACTCGAGGTAATCTCCATCCATGATGGAAACAAAGACAGACATACCCCTCCCTTTTTTCTTCATGCAGTTGGCGAAGTCGGCGAGCTTGGGATGGCAGGGAACATTTTCTGGCAGCTTGCCCCAAGGACGGCAAAATACGAGGGGTATAGGGTACCAATTCTTTGGGTGTACTTGGGTTGCTGCACATGCCAAAATTAGATGTTAAATAATCAGGTCATATCATACGTGTTCATCTAGAAACCATTTGGTAGTTGGTACCCCCTCTTTTGGTTTATCAGTGGGGTTTTCTATCATTTACTAACTAATTTGGTTCTATTGTATAATAAATAACTGTAGGTGTTACTTTTACTTGCTCGTATGAATATAAATGACACTTCTAGCCTCATCTGTTAGATCTCACTCCATTTGTCCCAATATTATCCCAATATTATCTTGGTAGTAGCTTTTGGCACATTTAATGAAAAGAAATTGTTTGATTCAGATTTATGTAGAATGGATAGAATCAAATAAGGTTCCACAAATTCAGTCCTAATAGGGAAATGTAAAGATAGTTTTGAGTCTAATGGAAAAGAAAAGTGTATAAATAATCTCGGACAGGGTATTTATTTTAACTTTTCACAAATAGACTTTAGATATAATTTAAAATAATTCAGCCTATTCATCTATTTGCGCCACAATATTGACAATTCAGCACATGATTCCAGAAAATTTAAGCATCTACCTAACGGGCTCCAAATCTGTAAAATATATACACCACCTCATCTATCCCCACATTAGCTTTCTCAGTTTCCCTTTTTTGTTTGTTTCAATATTATATTCTGATTTCATTTTAAGGAAAGAAGAATCATGCAGTTCATTTTCTTTTCCCCTGATTGAATTAACCTTAACAACACAATTTCACTTTCTTAATAAGCTTACCAAAAGTGATCGGTAATCTATTTGGGGGCAGCGGGAGTAAATACAAAAGCATCAAAATGCAAAGCTACTTTTATGTTACCATACTAAAGCACCTAATGGTTTTCATTAAATACGACAGTACCCAACATGTTTGACATAAAAACCAAGAATAAGATCTTATTATGTGTGCAAACCAAGCAAATTAAATGCCTGCCCATGGTTTTGTTGAATGAAAACCAGGTGTATCCATAAATTTCAAGACGGGCTCTCTTTCGAGAGCGTTTTTCATTATTATGAAGTCGCACATTGTCCTTTCTGAAACAAAATATTTGGCAATAAAAATAAATCTGGAATACTTTGCGGTTTTTAAGATAAGCATACAAACCTCCTAGAGATCGCAGACTGCGAAGTGCAAGCTGAAAATAGGCACTCTTGAAACCATCACCCCAGTCTCCAGCTTTTCCATTGAGGCATACATAGTAATATATGAGGGTAGCAAGGGCCAGGGCCACAATAGTGAACGTCCAAGATATTAAAAACATAATAACTGCAAGGAGAAAAAACAAAAGAAAGGTAAAACTCACATATGCACACACTTTGAAATGCACTGGGGTAATGGGTAAAACATAAAGCCCCATACTAAACTAAAAAAGAAAAATAGAAACGAAATTGCATGCATCACTAACATCACTAACTGGATAAATAGGAACATACCTATACAAAGCAATGCTCCCACGAGAGAAAGACTCCAGTGGTGAAATTTCCATCGAGGACGCCAGCTGGGAGCATCTAAAAGATCCAGAAGAAAGCACGATAAATTCACGCCCGCATAACATAAAAGAAAAAACATTGTCGTGGTTGGTGAGATAAGGTCTATGTTCCCAATAACAACACATCCGATACAGATGAAGGCAGTGAAGAGAGTAGCCACATAAGGTTCACTTCCCTCTGAAACCTTGAAGTAATTTAGAACTGGGAGAATGTCATCATTTGCTATAGCTGCAAGGAGACGTGGAGCACCAGCTAAGCTCTGAAGAGCTGCACCCAAGGTTGAAAGAATGATGCCAACATAAACAATTGCAGGGAATGGCCAAGCAACTGAAGCTGTTAATAACCTGCACAAATACTTGATCCGTAAATGAAGTTATAGAAGATATACACACCATTTTACATTATGTGGCCATCTTTTCACAAAACTTTGGGTGGGGCAGAACAACTTATCAGATTTGTCAAATGATTTCTTCATTTGCGAAATACAACACTCCCTCACTTTTTATGATAAGGTCTCCATATATCCATTTCTTAGAAATATATATGTCATTTACAGAAAACCAGTTAGAGAACACCCGTCATTTAGGACCATTTACATTTTCATTACCAATTTACACAATAAAAACAAGAGGCCAATGGACTTCCCGATTGGCTTCCAACTAGCAGTAACGAATGAATGGTTCTAACCCTCTTTGTAATGGACTTTTCATTAAAAGATTGTTTCAAGTATTTAGGATACATTATATAAACTCGTGGAGATATTGATTAATAGTAAACATACATAATCAATGCATGCTGGTTATAATGGAGAGTGACATTGTAATGGGCCTCGAAGACAGAAATAGTTTTATAGGAGCATAGGACCATCAGTATACCAACCTTGTTATATAGAGATCATAATATTAGCTTCTAAAAGAGAAAATGGAGAAAGGGTAGGATGCCCAATTTGGGACGAGAAAGGTAGTCTAAACACCAATGTTCTAAAATTCCTAGCCATCTACGAAGGCTTGTTAATCCACAAAAAAGGGCACTTGAGTGACGCCTAGGATGCCTAATCAAGAGCGTAGGGGCACCTAAGAACATCTAATCAGGCACCTGACTGACCTAGATGTAAATCATTGTAGGCACGCCTAGCGGCTGCATCCAACGATTTTTAGAGCAATACTTTAACCACAACTCTCCCAATGTGTGATGCGCGATATGCCAATATTCAATTTGACAAAACAAGTTAACTAAACTTTTTTATACGCTTTGATCATATTCAAGTTGTGTCACAATCGTCAACTGTAGTACATATAGAGAGGAGACTCACCCATCATCACGTGATTTCCACCTTCTCTTATAGAGAGGCACAAACAAAAAGCACAAATTACACAAAAAATACCTGTCAGTCAAAAGTTTTTCTCTGTTTGCAACAGCACCAAAGAAAAACACAGTAACAAAATATAATCCAGATGTTGTCAATGTTGCAGCTAAAGTTCCTCTGGGTATAGAACGTTGAGTGTCCCTTAGTGAAGCTGAACGATTAGAGCCTGCCATGATCCCAGTAACAGCAGGGAAAAACAGGCCTACCAATGCACTGAAGAGGTGCAATGAAATAAACCATAACAAGTCATTTTGATAAGCTGGGACAGTTAAAGAGAATTCTAGCTAGAGCAGAGTTATTGCCCCTTTTTGTCCTCCGACTATCATGTCACTGCGGTACTCCACTTTGAATTTTTCCACTTTTAGTCCTTCAACTATTGTGCAAACGACACTTTTGGTACCTGTCTTTGAAAGTTTCCATATTTAGTCCTTTGACTTTCATAAAAGTGAACTTCTGGGCCTTCAACTATTATAAGTGACATTTGAAGTATGTAACGATCCCACACCGGTCAAGTATGGGCTTGACCGGTGGCTTATAAGCAACGTGTTCCCTCCTTCTAATCAGCTGGTCTTTTGGGAGGAGTTCTACACATGGGCTTATGGCAATGGTATGGGCCTAGTATGGGCTAGGTCCGTAACAAAGTCCTCCACTTATTGTGTCAAAATCATAGTAGAAGGACTAAAAGTGTCAATTGGATAATACTCAGGGTACTAAATGTGGGAAACTTTGAATCGTGACTAAAAGTGTCTCTCGCACAATAGTTGAGGACTAAATATGGAACAACTGAAAGTCGAGTACCAAAAGTGTCACTAACACAATAGTTGGGGGACCGAAAGTGGCAAAAACTCAGCTAGAGCAATATCATTTTCATTACTGAAATTTGAGGTAATTTATTTTGGGGTCAATAAGAAAATAAGAAAATTGATACCAACGCATTTGATTAAGTTCAGTCTACACTAAACTTATTCAGATCAGCACTACGATTGGTTGGCACTTGGCACAAGAAATATTATTGTATAAACAGATTCTGAACGCAATGCAATTCTCTTGTTATAAGTAATCAAATAACTGACATAGAACAATTGACACATTGAATATGTCTCTCTATGCAGGTAGAAGAAACACGTTAAAAGATTCATTTGTCAAAATGATAAATATATATGAGCAAACAATACCTATGTGCATGGGTCCAAACAAAAAAAGTTGCCTGTGTTGCTTGAAAGACATTAGAATACAAAATAGTTGCCTGTCCAGCAAGCCTTAAATAGTTACTTCCAAATTGGCAACATGGATTGTAGATGTTGGCAACAATAAATGAGATTCTGGCTCAACATATTGGGCCTCAAGTTAAACTTTATTAACAGAACAACTTATACGTTTCTAAATTTCAAATCATTAATGACTAACCAGTTAGAGACATGGGACATGTCTGGTAGGATGGGAACGAAGGGGGTTAGTTGTTTTACGTTTACCTCAAGATAAATTATACTCCGTATAGGGTGTTTGGTAGTAAATTAATGACTAGGACACTGAGTTTATACTAAATTATTATCTATCACTTCATATAATTCATTTGAAACCTTATCAAGTTAAAACACTATTTTCTTATATTGAAATTTAACTCCTATACTTCCCCATTGAAACCCACCATCCCAAACATACCATTATGGAACAGGTTTACGAAGTCAAAAATATTTTTATGAATTGAAAAGGAATAATATGAAACTGCTGTGTGCTGTCTAATTATCTTCTCTAAATTGCAGATTCAGTACCTAGATGCCAAAGAAACACGACAAAAGCCTGATTTAATGAGCACGTAGGCAGTAGCAGAACTCAAGCATATCTTACTTAAAAGTCCAGTATATCTTTCCATTAGGATCTGGAATCCCAGCATGGTTAGTCAGCTGATAGTCAGTACTCCAGTTATCTTTAAAAGACTTCAAGCTCAACCCTGTGATTCCTACTATAGCAAAACCAAACCAAAGGAAGTTCACAAAGGATTCATGCATGTGTGACTGTGTGTACGAAAATGAAACATCATGTAAAACAACTTAGAAAAGAAAATTTAAAGTCCAGGAAACATAAACCACCTTCAGCTATTCAGCATCACAAAGTACAGTTTATCAGACTGAAACATTATATCTATCTTTGGGTTAGCTTTCCAGTTCCCACATAGATAAAATTAGTTAAAAACTTGAAATACTTTCATAAAAACAGAGAAGGGAATTTTCAATTTATGGTTTACCTTTTTAACAGTCTATGCAGAATAGTTGCTTTCATTGTTATAATTGTCCTAAAATATTATTATACTGTTTATTCAGACCCTTCCACTTGACAAGTTGTCCCAATGGGCAATAAGTACTTCACATGATACTCCAACAATAACTCGCAGAAAATGATATAAATTAGGCATATTTATGTTAAAAAAGGTTATAGCATTTGTTTCTTGTTGTGTACATGCCATCATTAGCTTTCAATACACAAAGACATGGTCATTGTTATAGCATTTGTTTCTTGTTGTGTACATGCCATCATTAGCTTCAGAAGAGAGAGGCGAGCCCAAGCACTTTCTCAGAGTGACCAGGGCAGCCACTGAGCTCTGATGCCCTCTTTGCGACACGTCTCCACATGCCGTGGAACACGAAGCTTCATCATGTGAATTTTTCCGGCACAAATCCGATCCAGTTTGCATCCTTTGGCCAACTACTTGTGCATTTTCAGATTTTTTGAACAACTATAGTTCGGGATTTAAGTCTTCATGTTCAGGCTAAAATGTTTGTGTTTTAAACTGTTCATGGTCATATTTCACAGGTTCGTACTCAAGTGTTCATGTTTTAGTTTGCATTAATCCTTATGTGTTAAAATGTCTTTTCAAGTTGTGTTAACTGTTAAGTGTGGTCAAGGATGATGACCATGTCTTTGTGTATTGAAAGCTTGGAGCATGCGAAGAAGCTCTAGCTTGAGGGGTGTTGACAAATATAGGAATACATTCAGCATGTTTCTTGTGTTAGGGAAGAGTCTCTCCATAGGAGCCTTTACCATGTAATTCTAAGAGACTCTTGAGTAACTGGAGAGTCTTTATCCACATGTGTGTACGCGCGAGCGAGCGGCGCTTCATAGTTCATATTACTCCCTCCGTTCCCAAATATTCTTATAAGTCAACTGGTTTAAAACTTCAATTAGTCTCTTCATAGTTCATATTACTCCCTCCGTCCCCAAATTTTCTTCTCACTTTCCTTTTTGGGATGTCCCAAAATTTTCTTCCCATTTGCTTTTAAAGAATGGCTTGGTGGTTAATACAGTTTCCCTTTTTTCTGCATCAACCAAAATGATACGTTTTCACTTTCTTAATAAGCATGCCAAGTCAAAGTGGAAAGAAAATTTTGGGAGAAGTAGTATATCATAGTCAAGCTGCTCTCTCAGGTCTCAAGATAAAACTATAATAGAAATATCAACTGTTCATGCATGCCCACAACACATGCACCAGAGAATGGTCACGGCTCTCTGACTAGAAACCCCAAATATACAAATTATTTAGATCTTATTATCAAACAAGCACCTCCCAGACAGAGACTTAATTGGCAATTGGCATAGTACCAATGTGCATCTTATTGAAAACAAAAAACACTTTGAAGTAAAAGACAAAGCCTGAACAATGTAAACCTGCTGGATGGTCTCTCTTTGCCACAAATATGCCAATAAATATGCAGCACAATGAGAGCAGCACGGGTATGAGGAAAGCTGGTGCAACACGGTTGATAATTTTGACACCTCCAAATACTATGAAGCATAGAATAATGGTGACGACAATCCCATAAATTTGCAAGTCATGCAAGCTTGGCCTCATAATTGGCTCTGCAATTGCAGTACCATTAACTCTCATGATGGTTTCTGCATTAATGCAACAAAAAGAACAAATAACTATTAATAACAACATACACCAATTAAAGTCAGTAAAGTAAGTAAACCAGCAAACAATCAGTAAACGCGCTCAATGATAATTTGTGAAACAGCCCAACTACACAGGTGAAAATGATTTGAGCCATCTTAGGTATTAGATTTAACCATTTCAGGCATTAGAAACTAACAAAAACTGCTACTATTTGAAAAAACAATCATAATAAGGACACAATAGTGGATAGTTTTAGCAATTCACAGACTGCAACATGCACATAATGTCTAATGACAAAAAATTTACCTCTAAAAATCCCTGCAGCTGGCACAGCATCTAAGAATGTCTCTACAGCTCCCAATACATACCTGAAGCACATGCAAGTATAATTAGCAATTTGATGTACAATAATAATAGTGCCATGAGGAATATGATCAGAGCTTATACTAACATAGCAGCAGAAATTGCAGTCCCCAGGAAAAAACACAGACCAATACTAACACCAACCTCTGGACCCAAGGCACGACCAATAAGATAGTATGGGCCACCACCCTGGAAAAGCATATAATTATATACTTGACACTAGCAATAAGCACAACCAAGATGCAATGGCACATCAAGACCAGTAGTTGGAAAAACTACTAAGTAGTCAGAAAAGGTCGGGCCGTTGACATTCAGAAAATCCCAGCAAGAAGAGCTATTTACCTTCATTGCACCATTAGTTGCAATGGCGCTCAATGATATTGTAGTCAGAAAAGTACATGATCCACATAGGGCAACAAGCAACAATGACTCAGCGATGCCAGCCATTCCAATAATCCTGTAATTCGATCACAAATAAAATGATATAGAAGGTAAAATGGATAGACAAATCACATTTCTAGTCAATAGATAATAAGAATAACCAAGTGCATATATAGTTTAACATCAGACTTATTTAACCCTTTAAATTGTCTTCCTCTCCCAACTCTCCTTTCTCTGCACCCTTCCCAACTCTTGCTGACTCCCTCTTATTAAAGGCCACATGAGACTATCATCAGTGTGTAGGAAAGCAGACACAAGATCTTACTTTGAGTTTTCAGTGTGTTTAAACTTTCTAGTTTATGAACTCTAACTGAAATATTTGAATAATTTAGATTATGATTTTATAAAATGCTCGGAGTATAAATTTTAGGAACAATCGACACATTAAATTATTCCAACCACATAATATCTAAGTGGAACTCCATGTAAAAGTTAATATGTTTACCAGGAAAATCGTATATAGTAGATGATTCCTAAAATATTTTGCAAGCATGGCACCAGAACTCCCATCAGTGTTCCCAATTTTGCATCAGTTGGCTGCATAGATAATATACATTAATAAATATAACAAAAGGGACCAGTGAACTCATAACATGCGGAAACTACTACTATTACCACACCCAAACTGTAGCAGAACTAAGCTTTCAATGCAAATGATCAAGAAACATTGAAAACACTATTTTTAAAAAGTGTTTGGTAAATAAATACTTTTTGTGTACTAGAAAAAGTGATTAATAGTAAAGGTTGGTAGTGTTTGCTTCTACTTTAAAGAACCCCTCCACCTGCTTCCGCCTTTTAGCTTGAAAGTGCTCAATTTAAGGGTTTGAAAACACTATTTTTAATATTTTTTAAAGCTAAAATCTGAAAATAACTTTTTTGAGCAATCTAAAACACACCTTAAATACTTGAAATTCATTTTTTCAATCAAAGTCGGGCTTAAAAAACTTTTTGATGTAATAATATTGATAGAAAGCATACAATAACAGAACATCACACAAAGAACTGCGACATATTTGAATTGATATCCGCACACATGTGATATTAGAGTAATGTCTTTTCAGGTGTATATTTATATAGAATAGTGTACAAGTAATAAAGTCATTTCTTGAATAGACATTCACACGACAGTATGGATAAAAACAGAAGTTTAACACTTCTCACCAATACAGAATCCACAGTTTACAGCAGCCAAAAGCTACAATTCATGAAAGTATGCTAGTTTTTAGAACAGCTTCAGAATTCTTCTATAGAGTGTTCATTGAAAACTATCTTCACTCCCTTTCCGTAACATATAAAACTATTGATTTCTACCAGATTTAAATTAGATTAATAATTATGTTCATCTTTCTTGTCCGTAATCATTAATCAAATTAGCAAATTTCATGAAAGTGATAAGATAAATGGAAGATAAGAATCAGTTATTCAGCATGTATAAAATGGATAAATGAAAGACAAAATTATAGGACCATTACATATATAACAAAATCAAATTGAACCTGCACTAACTTACTAGAAGCAGCACAATTTATGAATCTTTTCAGTACCTGAGGGTGCCCAGCAGTGATAGTTACATTATCACCATCTCTGGGACTTGAGGGGGCTGGCGTTTGATCCCCTAACATACTGGAACGAAAATACTCATAAACTATTTACACGCATCAAACTCTACAACCTTAAAAGCTTAAAGATCTTGAAAGAGGAAAAAGCATGGAATTAAATTTCAAGAAACCTTGAAAAATGCTGGTGTTTGGTTTCCTTAGATGGAGAAGTGATAGACCAAAAGGCAATTAATAGAGACTCGGATGTAATATTTCATCCCTTACCTCTTAAGACCAAGAATATTGACAAGAGAGTCAAATCCAAACAACTCCAATTTTGATTCTGTCTGGGGGCCATTCACACCAACATGATTATATAAAAGAGTTCCTCTTCCTTCAGAAGCTGAATTTGGCTGCACACCCACTTTAATTTTCCTGCAAAAAATGTGCAAGATAACATGGTGCTGTCAATTATAATAATAAGTTTGTATTGTTTATACTCGATATGCAATCTTGCAATTATAACCCAAATGGATCGGATAATATCATTATTTTCTTTCCAGAAGTAAACATCTCAAATAGTTGTCAAATTAACCTAAAGATAGTTAAGAGAATTACTCCATGATCTTAAATAGTGTATATATAACTCTCTTGAAAGGATACAACTAGTGAAAGATGCAGTTTATACTTGCACTCCCCTCTTATATATAAAGTACTCTGCTTGGGTCATGGAAGGGCCAAATTATCACATTATTAATCACTGTTAACGTCATCATTACCAGGAGAGGATTGGGGGGCAACTAAATTGTATCATCATTGTCCCCGTTTTCATCATTTTTGTTGGGACTGGGGGGGATGAGTGAGGGGTGTGTTGGTGATGGATTGGGGGGATTATCAGGGGTGGGAGGGGAGCAGTTTAAGAGAGTTCAACAAGAGGGACCTTCTCCTTTCTCTGCCAAAAAGCAAGATCGATAGTGCCAGCAGTAATCTGTTTACTGGGACCATATGACAGCATATAAGTTCAACATACTATATGTCTATATGTCTCCTGATGCCTTTTCCTCCCCTCACTACCACCAAGAAGATTCCATCTTAGTGACACTGTTTTCATGTCACTTCATAGAGATGAGTAATTATTATTATTTCGCAATCACTCTAACATATTCATAGTATCTGTTCAAGAATCCAAAACTGAGACCTCCACTTTGGATGGTGCTCAGCAGAACTGAATTATAATGACTGCATTTTACATCTTTTTATGGTGGATTGAAAACATGCCCAAATGATTGGACACTCATATTACGTATTTCAACCATGAGAATACTGTTAAGGGGAGTTTCCCCAATATGGATTCTTGAGGATTTCAACTGATTCCATGACATTGAAATTCATAGAATTCTATAAGAGTCTTATAGAATCTATGGAATTCCATTTAACTCCATATAATCCATAATATTTTTAAGTCCAACAAAATCATAGTTGGGGACACCCCCTAAAACTGTTAGGAATCTTTTATTGTGTACAAATATTATTATGTGTTTTTTATTTTAATAACACTTTACTATTGAGCCTTTTATGTGTTCAAGATGGAGCCTTGTTTGTGCAGAAGCAGAAGATACCCGACCGGGTGGGGTCAGTCACCCGACCGGGTATGATGTGAATTTGGCCGGGCAACTCTCTGGATTGGGAAACCCGATCGAGTAAGGAGGTTTACCCGACCGGGTCCGTGGATGTTTTGGCTTCTGTTTAGCATACCCGACCTGGTGTCTACCCGGGTATGCCTTTTGAGGCGACACCCGACCGGGTCAAGAAGGGGACCCGACCGGGCCAGTGGAGTTTCTACCTTTCTGCTTTGGTTACCTGCCCTGGTCTCAACCCGGGCATGCTTGCTGAGGAGTTACCCGACCGGGTCAAATAGGAGACCAGACCGGGTCTAAGGGTTAATTTTAATTACGAGCCTAATTTTTGGGCCTGCGGCTCTAATCTTTGTTTAGGTTTTCTTAAACCTATTTAAGCATATCGTGTACGTTGTAATACCTCTTGACGCAGACCTAATAATAAAACATCTCTCTCGTTCGCCGTGGACTAGCACAATCACCCCGATTGTGTGAACCACGTAAAACTCTTGTGTTCTTGCTCTTTAATTTATCGTTTTATTAACCTAAATCGTAACAAGTGGTATCAGAGCTATGGCTGACGAAGGGAAGGTTAAGATCGATAAATTTGATGGTCAAGATTTTGCTTTCTGGAAGATGCAAATCGAGGATTATCTCTACCAGAAGAAGTTTCATCTACCCTTGTCTGAGAACAAACCAGAATCAATGGCGGAGGCGGAGTGGAACTTGCTGGATCGACAGGCCCTTGGTGTGGTGAGGTTGTCGTTGGCGAAAAACGTTGCTTACAACATCGTCAACGAGAAAACAACGTTTGGATTACTCAAGGCGTTATCCAACATGTACGAGAAACCCTCAGCGGCCAACAAGGTTTTCTTAATCAGACAGTTGGTGAACACGAGAATGAAGGAAGGTGCAGCCGTAACAGATCACGTCAACGAGTTTAACTCAATCATATCCAGGTTAGGTTCGGTTGAGATTAAATTTGATGATGAAGTTCAAGCATTACTTTTGTTATCATCTTTGCCCGATAGTTGGTCCGGTACAGTCACAGCAGTTAGTAGTTCGTCTGGAACCACTAAACTTACCTTTGAGGGTATTCGTGACTTGATCCTTGGTGAGGATATCCGGAGGAGGAGTTCGGGGGATAGCTCCAACAGTTTGTTGAGTACTGAAGATAGGGGCAGAAAATCCACTAAAGGAGGTAACAAGAAAGGAAGATCAAAGTCGAGGAAGAGAGGTCAATCCAAGAACAGAAAGGACATCAATTGTTGGAATTGCAAGGAGAATGGTCACTTCAGAAATCAGTGCCCCAAAGCCTATGCAGACAAAGGCAAGAAGGAGGTGAACGTGGCAGAGGATTATGAAGATGTCCTAATTTGCAGCGTTGAGAATTCAATTGAGTCCTGGATCATGGATTCAGGTGCGTCGTTTCATGCTTGTCATTGCAGGGATTTGATGCAAAATTTCAGGCCCTACAGCGGAAGAGTTCGTTTGGCGGATGACAAATCTCTGGAGATCACGGGTATTGGAGATGTTAATCTCAATACCACTTTGGGTACAACCTGGAGGCTGAAAAATGTCAGGTATATTCCAGATCTGAAGAAGATGTTGATCTCAGTGGGACAGCTTGATGAGGAAGGCCATAACGTTAGTTTTGGCAACAAGCAATGGAAGGTGACAAAGGGAAAGCTGGTCATTGCTCGTGGACAGAAGCATGGTACGATGTACATGGTAGAAGTGTCTACAGATGGAGCAAACGCACCAGTTGAAGATGCAGGGGTCTCTACTTTGTGGCACCAAAGACTTGGGCATATAAGTGAGAATGGAATGAAGATGCTGTCTTAAAAGGGTAAAATCCCAGATTTGAAAAACTCAAAGTTGAGCTTTTGTGAGCCATGTGTCCTTGGCAAACAAAAGAGGGTAACCTTTGTGAAGACAGGGCAACAACCCAAGACTGAGCGGCTGGAGTTGATTCATTCAGATGTCTACGGACCTACAAAGGTCTCTTCAATTGGAGGTTCCCGCTACTATGTTACATTCATTGATGACTCTACCCGGAAGGTATGGGTTTATTTTCTTAAAAATAAATCTGAAGTCTTTAACACTTTTAAGAAGTTCAAAGCTGCAATTGAGAACGAAACTAATCTTAAGATCAAGTGTTTAAAGAGTGACAATGGGGGTGAGTACAGTAGCACAGAGTTTGTAGAGTATTGTGCTGAACAGGGGATAAGAATGCTGAAGACGGTTCCAGAAACACCACAACAAAATGGTGTTGCAGAAAGGATGAACAGAACACTGAATGAGAGGGCTAGGAGCATGAGATTACATGCAGGACTTCCAAAGATGTTCTGGGCCGATGCGGTGAACACAGCAGCATACTTGATCAACAGAGGACCCTCATCTCCCATAGGTTTCAAAGTTCCAGAGGAGGAATGGAAAGGTCATGAGGTATCTCTTAATCACTTGAAAGTTTTTGGTTGTATTTCTTATGTCAAAGTTAGAGATGCAGATAGTGACAAGCTCGAGGCAAAGGCAAAGAAATGTATCTTTATTGGGTACGGGCTGGATGACATGGGCTACAGGTTCTGGGACAACCACAGCAAGAAGGTTATCAGAAGTAGAGATGTCACCTTCAACGAGAATGCCCTGTATAAAGATGATCTTGCAGCAGACACTAGCAAAGGCAAGCAACCAGAAAACAAACAGCAAGTGGTGTTTGAAGGGATGACTGAAGATGACATAGCACAACCTATTGGTTGTGATGGCATGGCTGGAGGCTCAGGGAGCAGTGGGAGTTCAGGAGATACAGGAATTTCTGAAGATAGTGGGAGTGATGAAGATATTGGGAGCTCGGAGGAAGCTACTCCACAAATCAGACAGTCCACTAGAAACAGAAGACCTCCTAACAGATATTCTCCTTCAGCAAATTATCTGTTGCTGACCGAGAATGGAGAGCCAGAATCTTACAAAGAGGCGCTGATTGTGAAGGATTCCATACAGTGGAAGAAGGCCATGGAGGATGAGCTAGACTCACTTGATAAGAACCAAACTTGGTCCCTAGTCAAGTTACCACCGGGAAAGAAAGCTTTGGAGAACAAGTGGGTGTTCATAATCAAAGATGAAGCAGATGGGAGCAAAAGATACAAGGCGAGGTTAGTTGTCAAGGGGTTCCAACAGAAGAAGGGTGTTGATTACAATGAAATCTTCTCTCCGGTTGTGAAGATGACTACTATCAGGTTGATCCTTGGTATTGTTGCTGCTGAAAATTTGCAATTGGAGCAGCTGGATGTAAAGACTGCCTTTCTTCATGGCGACCTTGAAGAAGACATTTACATGGCTCAACCAGTAGGGTTCCCAGTGAGTGGTAAGGAGAAGTTGGTGTGCAAACTCAAGAAGAGTCTATACAGGCTAAAGCAAGCTCCTAGACAGTGGTACTTGAAGTTTGACAGTTTTATGCAGCGGAATGGATACACTAGATGCAAGATGGACCATTGCTGCTACTTGAAGAAATTCAAGTCATCATACATCATTCTTCTTTTGTATGTTGATGACATGTTGGTGGCTGGAGCAAATATGCAGGAGATCAACAAACTTAAGAAGAAGTTGTCAGAAGAATTCGAGATGAAAGATTTGGGGGAAGCAAGACAGATTCTTGGGATGAGCATAGTCAGAAACAGGATAGAAGGTACTTTAAAGCTTTCACAGCAAAAGTACATTCAGAAGGTCCTTGAGAAGTTCAGAATGATGGATGCCAAACCAAGGAGTACACCGTTAGGGAGTCAACTGAAACTCTCCAAGCACCAGTCTCCAAAGACCAATGAAGACAAAGAAGAAATGGCTAAAGTTCCTTATGCATTAGCCGTTGGCTGTTTGATGTACGCGATGGTGTCAACAAGGCCAGACATTGCTCATGCAGTGGGAGTTGTTAGCAGGTTCATGTCAGATCCAGGAAAGGAGCATTGGGAAGGAGTTAAGTGGCTGTTGCGCTACTTGAAAGGCTCTTCTGAAACTGCCCTATGTTTCAGAAGGAATGGTGTGATCCTTGAAGGATTTGCCGATGCTGATTTGGGGGGTTGTTATGATTCCGGGAAGAGCACAACGGGGTATGTATTCACTATTGGAGGTACGGCAATCAGTTGGATGTCCAGACTACAGAAGAGTGTGGCTCTTTCAACCACAGAAGCAGAGTATATGGCCATTGCTGAAGCGGCCAAGGAGTTGATCTGGTTGAAGAACTTTCTTTCTGAGTTGGGCATGAAACAGGGAGATTGCGCTCTATATTGTGACAACCAGAGTGCTATTCATCTTGCAAAGAATCCGGTGTTTCACAGCAGAACGAAACACATCAAGATGCGGTATCATTTCATCCGAGAGCTGATTGAAGATGGAACTATTAATTTGCAGAAGATCCTTGGTACGAAGAATCCAGCAGACATGCTAACCAAGGCGGTGACAACGGAGAAGTTGAAGCTTTGCATGGCTTAAACTGGCCTTCCAGATACTTGATGAAACTGGCCTTCCAGATACTTGATGAGAAGGCGTGAACGAGAGAGAGAGATCAGGGGTTTTACAGAGGATACAAGTTCTTGGATGGCAGATGATTGATAAACAAGCCTCCAAGTGGGAGATTGTTGAAGATGGAGCCTTGTTTGTGCAGAAGCAGAAGATACCCGACCGGGTGGGGTCAGTCACCCGACCGGGTATGATGTGAATTTGGTCGGGCAACTCTCTGGATTGGGAAACCCGGTCGGGTAAGGAGGTTTACCCGACCGGGTCCGTGGATGTTTTGGCTTCTGTTTAGCATACCCGACCTGGTGTCTACCCGGGTATGCCTTTTGAGGCGACACCCGACCGGGTCAAGAAGGGGACCCGACCGGGCCAGTGGAGTTTCTACCTTTCTGCTTTGGTTACCCGCCCTGGTCTCAACTCGGGCATGCTTGCTGAGAAGTTACCCGACCGGGTCAAATAGGAGACTCGATCGGGTCTAAGGGTTAATTTTAATTACGGGCCTAATTTTTGGGCCTGCGGCTCTAATCTTTGTTTAGGTTTTCTTAAACCTATTTAAGCATATCTTGTACGTTGTAATACCTCTTGACGCAGACCTAATAATAAAACATCTCTCTCTCGTTCGCCGTGGACTAGCACAATCACCCCGATTGTGTGAACCACGTAAAACTCTTGTGTTCTTGCTCTTTAATTTATCGTTTTATTAACCTAAATCGTAACATTATGTATTTAGCCCATTATATACTTATTGTGTGCTTACCTTTATTAATAATAGGAAAGCGGTGTGTCACTTTCCTAGGTCGGCAGACGTGATTTTATGTACAGTACTGGGATAGCAACGCATATGCGTATGTATTCCAGACTGATTTACTTTGAACTATATCTATTATCATTGTATTCATTCTAGTGAGAGAAAGAGCTCAGCAAACACTTTGTATTGATCTATCTGCTATGTAAACGCATTCATTGCATTATCAATAGATCGTTCTGCTTCTCTACTTCATTGAATACTATTGTCTATGCATTAATTCCGTTGTGATTGTTTGACACAGCTTTCAAAAACCACTACTTGAACAAAATGATATAGTTCCACCTCTACTTTTTCATTATGCACTCATCACTCAATACATCTTCCTTTTTAATGAAACTTCACTGCCACATAGTTTTAGTCAAAAGAACAAGAATCCTCCAAACTTTCTCGCTTACTGGATATTACTTTAAGCCTTCATTCCCTATACCTCGGACTACTCAATCATTCATTCGTGCCCTGATGGATCTTTTTTTCATGCTCCACCACAGCAGCATTTCAACTCATTAGTTCATCTGACCTAATTCAGGGTTCCATACTACACTATAGCACAAACGAGAGAGATTATATCCTAAGCAACCAAGATTCCATATCTTATTTATAGCAGGTCACCTACAACTAGCACAAATTGTAAATGGTATAACAGTTTCTGAAAAATATTGTAGAAAAAAACTAGTGCATGAATATAGATATTCTTGCACCACTTCGGGAGAAAATGCAGCTCAGTGCAGGGAAACTCTGGGCTGGGTCCCACAAAGTGCAGGGTTAAGGATGGCAATAACACCCATACTCATTGGATACCCAACCCATCCAACCTGAATTTATGGATGAAAATATAAAGGTGAAAAAGGGTGGTGGATGGATGTGGGTGGACATACATCTGATCCATCACCCGATCCACCACCTAACCCAACACTCACCCACTATTATCCATAGTTTTCTCCTAAGGTCAACATACTAGTAAATCCAATTTGTTCCCTTTTTATTAAGATAAAGATTTTATAGTATTATGTTCTTTTGTCATTCTTTTCCTTCTTGGCTGGATGGGTAAGACATTCACTTGTGAGTAGAAAGGATAAATGTGATTGGAGTCTTAGAGTGTTCATTGATCTATGTGAATCTTGTTTTATTCAATGTTGATGATCTATAAAAGTCAAATATGAAAATATTTTTGTTTTTATTTACTTCTTGGAGACGATTAATGTGTATATTGGTAGTATTCTTATGTGTCATTACTATTAATATTATGTAGTAATATGTCCTTTTTTTCCTTTTGAAAATTAAATTTTGGACATATTTATAGAACGATTTCAAGGGAAATGGTTAGCTATTGATTTTTTCCCTTGTGCACCAAATCGACCTGACTTAATTATAGATGATGGCTGGATTTTTATGTGGATGAAATGTTTAACTGAGTGACAAATGGGTCTGGAGGCGGATGAAAAATCGGCGAATGGATGCGGGTGGATCTCCACCCGACTCATTGTCATCCCAATATCATCAAAACCTGATTTTTGATAAATGCAACCTTAACTTATAGTTATATACAATTCTGTTTCCCTGGCTTGATAGCAACCACAAAAGCACATGGCACTGTATTAGAAGATCTATAAATCCATTTAAACTACAACAGGCGCCCAGGCCTGTCTGAAATACCAAATGAGCCTCATAAATATAGATAGAAACAGAGAGCTCCAAGATTCTCTACGATTTCTTATATTCAGATGGAAATTACGAAAATAAAATACAGCATCAAAAATTAACAGTAAAAATCAACTTACCATCAAAAAATCTAGCTAGCAATAAACGCTGCATTAGAAGAAAAGAATTGAGAAAAAGCTTCAGCACGAAGTAATTTTAACTTGATCCTTTTACGTACTACTCCGTATAATTTAAACATCAGGATGAATAGCATTTATCTAAATGCGTGTGCCTAGTTGCATGCGAACTTAATACAGAGCTGATAAATTGAATTTCATGACAGGGACACAGAAACGGGATCTCTAGATACCGTACTTGAGATCCTTGGACGGAAATGAAGACGAGGAAGAGCCAAGATCCACAGACGACATTTCCATTCCCGCTCGATCATTATCATGCGCCACCACCGGCGTGTACTTGCTCCGTCGCAGACCAGACGCTGGTGGGAATACTTCATTCTCCTCGTCGGCGTCAGTTCCGTTCCCTTGTCCTCCAATCTCCAATGTTTCCGATGCCACATCCAGATTCCGATCCATTTTAGCACGCCAGTCAAACTTCTAGCTTATACACGGAGACTATGTATGACTAATCTTTATTTGAGTGTGATATGATTCATACTAATTGGTAGTGGTTGAATGTGTATCCGATGACTGAGAATAGGATCCGACTCGAGAAGAAAGTGGAAGAAAAGAGTTCCACGTTCAGTAGAAAATTAGAGTATGATAAAAAGATGAAGTCGTACACAAAGGGGCGTTGAAAGGAAGAGGAAATTTTCTTCTTTTAATAAAATGAATACTCTTTTTTAGAAAAAAAAGGACAAATAAGCCCACGTACTAACAAAAAAATCAAATAAATTCTTATATATGAGTTTTTGTCTGGCCGTCGCCATTTAAGACAGTTAATGGTGGAATTTTTTGATGAAATTTTTAAAGAATCTTATTCATTAAATCTAGTTACTCGTACAAAATTTCAGCTAACAATTCAATTGGGAAGACATTTAAATAAATTCTTGAAGATAATTGCGCTTTTAACTGCGCAGTTATCTTCAAGAATTCATTTGAATGCCTTCCCGGTTGAAGTTTTAGCTGAAATTTGGCATTAGTGAGTAAATTAGACTTAATGAATAACATGCTCAAAAATTGCATAAAAAATTTTCATCGGGAACCACCACAAATGACGACGGTCGGACATAGCCTCCTATATAAGGGCTTATTTGACCTTTTTTAGTTTGTATGTGGGTTTGTTTGCCCCTTTTTCCTTTTTTATCATCAAATCCAACAAATCTTATTAGGGTGAATTCCCTAAATATGACTAAAAAAAATTTGAAATTCCAAAATATGAGTATGATGTTTTTTATTCTTTAAATAGGAGTAAATTTCTGTCAAATTTGGCATTACTAGGTTTTATAACATGACATTTTTCCCAAACTTGACAAATTACTTCTATCCAGGGAATAAAAAACATGATACTCCTATTTTGAAATTTCAAAACATTTTTGCTTCTATTTAGAGTAATTTCTAATCTTATTAATTCAAACGGTCATTAGCCAACATGCTAACAATACATCCATGCAAACATCATAGCTACTATAATGATCCGGGAGATTTACATGTGCTCTTCCGATCGCATGAGTCACACGATTCGCAGATCGTTTACAAAAAGAGACAGAAAAATGATTCTTTGTTTCCAATACTTCCCTAATGTCATCAATAATAATAATATGAAAACTAGTAATTCCACTCGCGCTACGCACGAGAGTGAAGATATTTGGATCAACCATACATAAACTCAAAGAATTTCATAGTCAATTAACCTAACTCAAAACAAAAAATTAAAAACTAAAACAAATTAATCAAATTAAAGCATTAAATAAATTAAGTATTCATATTTAATACGAAATTAAAAAATAATGTTCAAGGTTAAGTACAAATCATGATGTGATATGCGTAGCAATGAGTATGGATGTATGCATGTAAAGCAAGAGAACTATAAATTAGTGTAAACTTCTTTGTATACTACATTCAACGCTGACTTCTTTGATTTCCCTTCTTCATCACATATAACAAACTTTAACTCAGACGTACTTGTTACTCGCGAGACCGCCATGTACAACTGTCCATGCGTAAAAACAGAACGATAGAGGAAGATGCCAACCTTTTCCAATGACTGTCCCTGACTCTTATTAATGGTCATTGCATAGCTAACCATTAACGGAATGGGATGAATAAAAAATACGCAATAGTAACTATGTAATAAGCTTGCAATAGGATGAATAAAAAATGCTAACACGCATGGGGTGAATAAAAAATGCTATCACGCATAAAAAATGTCAGAATTGATGAAACAAAATTGCTAAATACAAATCTATATTACAAACCATCATTACATCTCTTCTTTTTTATTCTCATCTATACTAACACGCATGGGAATTTGTGATCTGCCAGAACAAACCAAGCATGAAGATAAGATTTAAATCCAGCAATGGCGACATTGTCATTTCCAGAGATAAGAAGATCATCTACATAAACCAGTACATTAAGTTGAATAACACCACGGGTAAGTGTAAACAAAGAATAATCAGCATAAGACTGGAGAAAACCATAGGCCTTAAGTGCAGTGACCAATGTTGCGAACCAACATCGCGGAGCTTGTTTAAGGCCATATAAATATTTATGAGGACGACACACCAGAGATGAGTCGGTGGCGGTGTAGCCAGGAGGAATAGTTGTATACTTCTTCATGGAGATCGCCATGAAGAAATGCATTGTGCACATCCATTTGACGGAGTTCCCAGTTTTTACATGAAGCAATAGCAAGAAACGCACGCACAATAACCATTTTAGCAACTGGAGCAAAAGTTTCGGTATAGTCCAGACCAGCTACTTGTCGATTATAAAAAATAACCAGTCGAGCTTTAAGGCGTTCAATATTGCCATCAGATTTATGTTTAACTTTATAAACCCATCGACACCCTAAGGCCCGTTTGCCAGGAGGCTAGGGAACGAGACTCCAAGTAGAATTCTTTTCAAGGGCTACAATTTCGTCACGCATGGTCTGACGTCATCCATCATGTTTAACAGCATCATGGAATGTCCAGGGCTCCGTAATAGAGTCAAGAGCTGCCAAATAAGCTACATGTTTCGGAGAAAATTTATCTCAAGCAACATAATGAGTTATAGGGAACGACGTACCTGAAGAGGGCGATGAAACAGAAGGAACGAAGAATGGACTGTTTTTAATAATTGTGCGAGTAACGTAGTCCTTAAGGCGCACAGATGGCACCCGTGTACGCTGCCCGCACCCCAAATCAACTGGCTGGGCAGATTCTTTAGTGGTCGGTGCATTGGTCCTTGTAGCAGATGTCTCAGAGCTCTCTGGCTGGGAAGGTTCCTCAGTGACAGGTGGCATATCATGCTGGAGCTGAGTGTCCAAAGTAGCGAACTGTGTGGGAGCAGAAGACACTTCCGCAGCAGTACTTGCATGAGACGTGGGAGGATACCCAGGTGTAGACAAATCAATGTAATCATTGGGGGAATCAATGGCTTTAGGAGGATGCTCAGAGGGTGAAAAAGAATTAGCAAATAGGAATATATTCTCAAAAAAATTGACATCGCGTGATATAAAATATTCGCGAGCCTCAATATCATAAACATTCCATCCTTTCTTGCCAAAAGTATAGCCCACAAAAATACATTTTCTGCTGCGGCTGAGAAATTTGTCACTTTTGGACTTCATATTGTAAGCATAACACAGACATCCAAAAACGCGCAGAGACTTGTAACATGGTGGTACATCAAATAAAATTTCATGAGGTGTTTTAAAATTATGTATAGCGGAAGGGGTCCGGTTAATGAGATGAGAATCGGTAAGAACACATTCACCCCAAAAACAAATAGGCAAATGTCCCTGAAATCTCAAAGCACGAGCTACATTCAGAATATGCCTGTGTTTACGCTCAACCCGCCCATTTTGTTGTGGCGTGCCAACACAAGATGTCTGAAAAACAATTCCACTATTCAGGAAAAAACTTTCAGACAATTAAATTATGTCCCATTGTCACTTCTCACGGCAATAATTTTCTTAGAAAATTGGCGTTCCACCATAGCAACAAAAGAAAGGAACATTTTAAAAACTTCCATTTTATCAACAAGCAGATAAACCCACACAGCACGAGAATAATCGTCCACGATGGTCAAAAAATGTCTAGCACCACACGAAGATGGGGTATTGTATGGACCCCACAAATCACAATGTATCAATTCAAAAAATGCCATGATTCTTATTCAAACTACTAGTAGGAAAAGAATCCCTAGTTTGCTTAGCCTTAAAACAGACATCAGAGGGTGAATTTCCAACAACCTTCCAGATAACTACCTCAGCAAAATGCTTACCATGCTTCACCGTTAATTTTAACATGTACCGCCAAATACATGTCTGTTTGACATCTCGACAACTGTGGCAATAAAGAGATGGACCCTCATACTTAAGCTTTTTAAAGTATGTTTTACTACTACATCCCAGGTAAGCCCAATTCTTTAATGATAGAATTGAACAAATTTGGGCATAGAACCAGCAACCCTTAACTTGTATACCAAAGTAATGGTAAACTAAAATACTCATTATTTAATTTTAGATTAGGAAGATCTATCCACATAGAATTATTTCTTTATTCAAATTCATTCTCAAGTTGTCAGATTTTAATGAATTTTCAATGCTTATATGTAGGAATCCAGGATAGCAAACCAAATATGTAGAACTACATTTGTTATCAGACACATAAGATATAACAATCTTTAAACAGTTGTTCACTTAAAACTTTGATTCAGAATCCCCAATGTAATACATGTATAGATAGAAGAAAACCAACAAAAATGAAAAAACCCGAGACACTATTTTGTATGAGTTTAAGCCATTCATTTTACAGGTTGCATGTTTTTTTTTAATTCGGGCTACTTTCGCTGCTTAGTTTAAAGGCGAGATAAAATAAAACATAATAAATTAAAAAAGATGACATATGTAAGAAAAAGCAATGAATAAAATATCTTTTGAATTTTAAGTCAGAAGGAATTTGGTATGGTATACCTTTCCATAAAGATTCTTTAGACCTCTGAAGCACCTATATTGCAAATTTAATAAAATGCTGAAAATAGTTTGACAACTCATCTTGAAATTCTTGAGTGATATTAGTATTGGTAATGTTTTTAACAAAATTTCCACATTATTTGAATGAAGTAAAATATGCAAAATTGGCACAAAATTGGCACAATTGGAACAATTTTTCCATACAGATTATTTGGCCATCTAAACCACATATATTGCAGAATTATTAAAATGATGAAAACAATTGGTGACGTTGATCCTGGAATTGTTGAGTAATGTTACTATTGGTACTGTTTTTTTAATCGACTTCCCATGTTATGTGAATTAAGTAAAATAGGCAAAGTGGTACTTTTTTAGATTAGTTTAGGCCAAACTCTTCAACAGCTTGAAGGTTTTTTTTTACTGATTGCCAATGTTACTCATTTGATAAGTTGAAATTTTTTATACTTTGATTGATATTTAGGAAATAATATAAAATCATACCTCTTTGGCGATGTCCAACTCAAAAAGATGCATGGTAAACCCAACATCAATACTATCTTCTCTTAGAGTCACGTAAGATCGATGAAATCAATTGAGATTGATAACCTCAACACAACGGTTTCAGTTTAACCAACAAAATTAATCCCTCTTAAGTTTATTAACCACGACCGTGCATTAATAAACCGAAGTTACTTACTTGTGAAACCATCAACGATTTACCATCGGTTCGTTGATCGTTTCTAGTAATAATTAATATATGAAACAAAACTAGTTGATCCTTTAAGTAATGTTCAAAATATTAATATGAAATATGAATAGGAATTAATTAATATTCAAGGAAGAATATTATTAAAGAAGATGAATCCTACTATAATTAATATCAAGATGTTAACTAATTGTCATCTCAGCAACACTCCCCAACATTAATATAGAGGAAGAAAATACTATTCTAACTAATGTCGAGATGTTAACTAATCGTCATCTTAGCAAAACTCCCCAACATTAATATAGAGATGGTATTAAGGAAAAAACTATTAATTAATATTCAAGGAAAGAAGTTAAGAAAATAACTCACAACTTTAATAATCAACAAGCTTCAAGAGCAACACCAAGAATGGAAGTTTAGCTCCTCATTTGGAGACTAAACATAGCTAGAAAATATAAGAAATGCTATTCTAAACTGAGCTTAAGAGTATAGAAGAAGGGATGATTTTTAGAGAAGAAAAAGTGTGTTTTTTATAGGTGTTTTTCAACACCTTTGGCCGGGCACCCAACCGGGTCAAGTACTTACCCGACCGGGTCCGGTCAAAATCAGATAATCCGCCACGTTCTGGTGATCTTCGCACGTCGTTTTGTCCCGGGTCACATCTGACCCGACCGGGTCAAGTAGGGGACCCGACCGGGTCCAGTGACTTTCTTGGCAATTTCGTCTGTTAAATCATACCCGACCGGGTGGGGGTTTCTACCCGGTCGGGTTTCACTCCTGGGCAGTCAAATTTCTTGTTTTCTTCTCTTCAAAGTCTTCCTTTCCAACACCACAAATCCTAACTATACTTTACAACTTATAAATAAAGAATAAAATACAATTACAACTGAAATCACATAAATGTTTACAAACTAAATAAAATGTCAAACAATCAACATAAATCAAACATAAAAACATATAATTATACACTACTAATTAGTGTGCATCAGTAGCTCCTCTCCCGCTCTCCAACTGTTTGCGACAATTGTTCTGCACTCCTCCTATCGCAGCCAATTATTCTCAAATCGAAACTTCTTTTAAGTCCTACCATAGTTAGTAGGATGAATTTAAATTAATAAAGCCATATGGTCGCTAACAAGGGCTTGCACTAATGATACTCTAGGTTCCATGAAACTGTCCCACCATTGATCATTGATCAAAATCCAGTCAAGTTTTTCTTCGAGCCAATTTTGTGTTCCCTTTCCTCTCTCCCATGTTCATTGATATCCATCAAACGGAAAGTCTCTCAACCCACTGGATAAAACTGCCTCATGAAAACCCAGCAGCCGCCATGGTGGATGCGGTATCCTCACCTTCTTCTCAGAATCATAAAGAATATCATTCATATCCCCCATAACCATCCATACCAAGTTATTATTTCCGGCCAGCCGCTGCAGCATCTCCCACGCCGCCCGCTGCCTTACTGTTTCCGGAAACGCATAGAAGCCCGTGAACCGCCATGTCACTCCATCGTCGGGGTTGCATATCTGGCAGTCCACAAAGTTAGCATTAGTCTCCGTTATGGTAACATCATAATCCTCATTCCATCCCAGCATCACACCTCCTCCATGTCCGTCCGCATTGAAACCCTCGACGTTCGCATATCCCATTGACCGTAGTATATCCCTTGCACGTTGGCATCTCAACTTTGTCTCCATCAAAAAGACAATGGAAGGACGATGTTGATGAATCAAATCCGTCAAACATTGCATGGTTGTTGGGTTTCCCAACCCCCCTACAATTCCACAAAAGAATACTCATACTCCTTCACCGTAAATTCCCCCGATTCAACCTCCACGACTGTTGCAATAAGTGAAGTCTCCTCGGTGCCGTAATCAATGGGCGATCACCACTGGATGATCCAAAGCTAAGCGTTGCCTAATCGGCAACCTTAGATAGAGAGAGAAAAAGTGTTGCCTAATCTGAAGAATTACGTAACCAATCGCCTAATTTTCCTCGAAGCGATTGAATTAATTGAATCTAAAAATCAATACTCTTTAAAAAGACGTTTTGGTTTTTACTAATTATTTTATTTTATTTAGAATTATTACTAAGCTAAGTATGTAAAAAAGAATATTAGATGATACAACAACAATAACATCCAAATCTTATTCTCAAAGTATTTTAGATATATCAGATAATATCACATAAAAATGTCACACTTTTGCTTTTAAAAAAATAAATTTCTCAAAATCACAAACAATAGGTTTACTTATTATCCAAATCAAAACCAAGAGTTGAAAACGAAGGTGATTGATAAAATAATAAAAATAATATTTTTTTAAAAGACATTATTGAAATAAAATTGTTTATAAAAATATGACTAAAGTTATTACGAGTACAATGTCAAAAGTGGTGTTGACAAGAGTGGAAATAAGGTTGGGCTAGTAAACAGTTTTTTGGAAATCTTTTAAAATTAAATATTTTACACTAATATTTATAGAGTATTTTTAAATTGGGTGAGGACGGACGGGACCTAGCAAGCCCATGGTCACTTAAATAAACTACTCCTTCCGTCCCCCAATTAAGTTACGTGTTTGACTTCACACATACTACCTTCGTCCCTTAAATTTTTGTCAAGTTTGACCGGCACGGGAATTAATAAAGTAAAAAATGTGTGGTAGATGTTTGTGTAGAGGCAAAGAGAATTGATTGGAACCACAAATTCTTTACTTGAAAGGGAAAGTGGCAAAGTTAGTGGGACATGCAAAAAAGGAAAGTTGACAAAGTTTTAAGGGACAAAGGGAGTATTAAGGAAATAAATTTACTGGGGGTAAATTTTAATGTTTTAACACTGTTTGGCACTGTTTGAACACTGTTTTGCACTGTTTGGACACCGTTTTGCACTGTTTGACACTATTTTGATGTAGATAATTTGCCAAATAAGGAAAGTAAGGAAGTGTGAACTTAATTTAGGGACTACCCAAAAAGGAATGTGGTAACTTAATTGCGGGACAAAGGGAGTATTATAGTAACTACATTTAAGAGATCATATTTTTAGTAAACAATCTTTATTTTATTCCTAAATGTATAATTATTTATAAAATAGCATTTCATAATTGTCTAGCTTATTTAATTTATGTTGTATACATAATTTTATACTGCCTCCGTCCCTTATAAGTTTGCCAAAAAAAAATTGGGTGTCCAAAAACTTTGTCACTTTCCGTTTTAATCAATCAATTTTTGGTTCCTGTTATTTCTCTTTCCTCTCTATATATATATCTATCACACAGTTTTTACTTTATTATTCTACTTGACGGTCAAACTTTGTAAACATTTAAGGGACGGAGGGAGTACTTTCTCACGTTCACGAGTGCACATAAATTAATTGGACGAGTTGGCAATGAAACCTAGTGTTTTCTTGTGAACAGACGTGGTGATAATAATAATAAAAAGAGATATTACCCAAAATAGGACAAAACGGTTTGAAAATTCCAAAATAGGACTGCTATATTTTTATTCCAAAAATAGGACTAATCACTGCCATGTTTTGGCAGTACCAGACTTCAAACATGGCAGTATTTTCTAAACATGGCGGTAATTAGTCTTATTTTGGGAATAAAAAACATGACAACCATGTTTTGAAATTTTGAAATTGTTTTAATCCTATTTCGGAAACTTTTCCTAATAAAAACTTACATGTCGTTGGCCCTCTGCTATGCGTTATGCTTTTTTGTAGGGGTGGGCATAAAACCCGAACCGAACCGGTACCGAACCGTCCCGTAATGGTACCGAACCGAATACCGGGTATTTAAACGGTTCTATAGATTTTTATCCCGTACCGAAACCGTACCGTTTGAAACGGGTACGGACCGGTCCTAGATTTTGAGAACCGAAAAATACCGGACCGAAAAATACCGGACCGAACCGTTCTTAAATAACGCATTTGATTTTTTTTATATTCTTTCTATATCAATAGATCTAGACCAACAATTTTATACCCCTAGCATTTCCACGCGCTTTGCGCGAGGTTGAGTGCCCAACGAATGAAAAAGGAAAAATAAAAGTGGCTGAAAAATGTGTAACAGTAATAAGCCTTGAGTACTCTAAGACAATTGTATAAGGAAATTAAGAAATAAATTGTGTGCATAAGATGTGAGCAAAAGCAGAAAGTTAACATTGAATGAGAAGGAAACAGTAGTTTATGATGGATAAGGAAGTGGAGTGCATGGGTGGTGTATGGGAGAAGTAGGCTAAAGTAGGGTGCGTGAAAATGAAAATGAAAACATTACAGCCAAAAGTGAGCAACGTTAAATGATGTTAATATTGAATAGAGTTCAGGTTTGGGTAAGAGTGGAAGTGCAAACAACGCTTCCAATCTCGTATGTGTGATAATTGCGGGGTGGTTCTTCAACGCCGCAAGCCGAAATGATTAGGAGGCTAACTTTGCCGCGATTATGTCTAAAAAATGCAAGGGTGGAGTCCGGGTTAATGTGGAAAGCAGATTTTATTTCTTGTAGTAGATCAATTTCTCTCCCCAAGAAGTAGTCCTCTTTTGTGCCATGCAAGATCAATACCCGACCACTTTGATCACAGCATGTGTTGAGGAATGCCTCACAAGTTACCTGAAAAGAATAAAACAATTCAATGGAATTGAAAATAGTTTGTTTTCAAAAACATATTTCCACATAATAAGGAAGAAAGGAAAATAGTACCGCTGCAATTTTGGAGGGTACATAGAGGAATGACGGTGCATTAAACAGTTTTGCATATGAGCAGTTCGGAAGTGCAGATTGAATGTATACGAAGAAGTGTTCTGTGTGGGCAGGAAAACAGAAATAAATATACGAAGCAGTTATAGGAAGCTGGTATTTTAAAAGAAATGAAGAAGGTGTAGGTAATTTACCTCCAGGAAGAACAGGGTCAAAGGTAGCATTGAGTGGTGTACCAATGTTCCTGGAAAAGCCTTCTGTATCAAACATAAGCACATCAAAGATGAAATTCCCGGTGTGGCGGAGTAAAATGTAGGTGTCGAATGGGATTTCATTTTCATCAAGGAAATTAGCAAATTCATGTTTTAGAGTGTAGGCTTCGAGAGGGAATGCTGATGAAGTAGTTCCATATCTCAGGACAAGTTCTGCTTTGGTGTGTTCGAATAAATGGCGGTGCATGCAAGGAGGTATTTGCTAAAGCAGATGAAAGAAATAAAACAATATTTAGTGTGTTACGGATGAAGGAAGGTTGAAAACAGTGTAATGAATGGAGCATGTTTAATTTACCAATGTGTCAAAGTCCTGGAATTTTAGGAGACACCATACCAGAGAGAATTGTAACACATCAGGGTAATGTATTGTGCCATTTCTCGGGCAGGCTATTAAGGATGAAGAAGAGATGAAAACATTTAAAATAGTTGCAGTTGTCAAGTGAAAAAGTAAATCAAAATGGTTGCTGAACATATGAATTAAAAGCAATTACAAAATGGACTGACCTGCAGGTGGTGGCAAGATAAGACCGCGTCTTAGGAAGTGGTTCATTTTGTGCTCAAATTCCCCTTTGTTCCTGAAGCGTGTGGGAAGGAGTCTGTCATAACCCGAAACTGCCAGAAATTGCTTCCACTCTATCGTTGCATTGCAGTTATCGCCCAAGGTGGAAGTTTGACTGAGGACAGCAATCGAAATTTTTCTCCCATGAACAGTATGTAGGAAATATGTCAGTGTATTACCAAGCACACTGTCCGTGGCAGTGTGCACAGTACAAGTGCTGAACAGGTCCATAGCAACGCGGCAGGGCAAGAAGCTACCAAAATGAATGCAATGAAAAGCATGTAATGTGGATGATAAAGTGTGTGAACATTGGTAGTTGAATTGTTTCATTGTTTTTGGACATTGCCGGAAAAAGGTTGCATGCAATGGAATAAGTACATATGTTTGTTTGAATTCTTTAATGTATTCATACTTTAAGGAAGTGATGTGTATGTGTTACGCGAAGTGGCATGTGTAAAGAAACATGGTAAAGTCTTGTAATGAATAAGTAACAGAGAAACAACGAAACAATAGCAGCAGTGAAGCGTAGGCAAGACAAAACCTGGAATTGGCACTGAGCAACTAAACTTTTTGAAAAGAAATATTAAAAATTGTCGATAAATGGAAAATAAAACTAAGTAGCAGAGCAAATGTAGTATTTAGAACTACAACAATCCCTCCCAAGCATTTTAATGAGGAACTTCATAGCCTTTTTATTTTACCCACTTTTTTAAACGTAGCTTAGACTTTGAAAATACTGTAGAGTATACGCAAGTGTCAAGTTTTGTAAATAAAAGAAGAAGTAAAATGATCCTGGCATTCACAAATACAAATAAAATCAGAAATAAAGTTTGCTTTGAACAATGAATAAGCAGTTGTTGCGTTTATAAAGCACCTACTTAGTCATGCCAATATGAATAAAACGAAAAAAACATCATGGTGAATAAGGAAAAATACGAGGATGAGGGGAAGCAACACGATGGACGCATGCAGTTCAGAGTGGTTCAAGGGCCTTTCCGCATACTGTCTGCATTTCGGTTTTCGAAAATGTATATGAACTTTCGGAAATGCAGATGAACTTTTCTATAAGAATGGAAAGTAAAGCAAAGAGCAATGCAGACAATATGCGGAGAGGATCGGCAATGGGAAGTTGAGCGAATAACTTACCTGTGATAAATTGTGTTGCAGTGTGAGGAGAGGATAGGCAGAAACAGGGAACCGGGTGGAAGGAAAGAAGAGGCGACTGAGAATGATAGGGAGAATGGGAAGGGTCGGTTGAAGGGAGAAGGGAAATAGACGGTTTGGGATAAGAATGGGCGGCACCTTGTAGATGATTGGCCGGTCAAGTTGGTGCTTTTATAATGGGACTTACAAACTGTGTACGTTTATAATTCGATTTTATCACAAAAGCACCTCATATAATTGTGGGGTTTAAAATGATGGCCCAAAAAAGTGTAATCACTTAAAATTTTGGATTTGGTTTGTATCCATTGCGTTTAAAAAAATAAAGGGGCACTTAGACGGTCAATTACAAAAACAATTATAGGCATTAATCATATGAACTTCAGTGGAAGCCAACAAATAATTTGCCATGCCTGAATCCCGTTTAACGCAAACATGCATGGCACATGTATTGTGGACTACGCAAACAAGACAGTGAAGAAAAGTGTTAGTACGTAATAGCACACAGAAACTTTAATTTGTACAAGTGTTTGCAATTCATCTGTATGGACGTCTTCTATATAAGCTATTCAACATTCTCGAATTATACTGATGAGGCTGTTTAAAAGATGAACTCAAATGAATTTAGGACTGCACCTTTTCAGAGTATCCAAGGTCTTGGCAACTTCAATTTCACCAACAAAGAATAAAAAGTTTAAATTTTCTGAATATTGAATAGAAAACAAATGTAAAATGAACTCAATGTGTCTGTCCAGGGTAAAGTAATACCATAAAAAAGGCTGGAAAGATTTGGCGATGGGAAATGTGAGTAAACAGATATGGAACTTTTTTATGTCTGTGTTCGTCACCTGTGTTGGTTATCACAAACATTAATTACAAGTAGTTCATGCTCATTATACAACAAATCCTATAAAATCACTATTCAATACTGTAATGATTTGAAAATGTGGTGGCATGAACCCAAGTGTTAATTTTTTTTTCTGAATGTGAATTCTCCTTGTAAAACAGAAACAATTTGAATTGAAATTATGTTCAGTTAATCATAACAATAACTAACCACACAAGGAAAGATAAAATCACATTTTAATGTTACCAACTTGATGTGGGCTTGTATACGTAACTGGAATTGAATGGATTAATAGAACCAGAAGCAATTAGGCGTACATGGATTTCAAAACTTACATAGGATGAAATGGTGTATACGGTATGCCCGAACAGACTGAGTATGAGATGAAATGAAGGGTTTAACTGCTGGATGACAATGCACCCTCTAATAGGCATGCAAAAGTATATTGGTTAATATTACAACATACTTTAAACATAAAATGATTAGCATTTAAACAATGCGTGTGAGTTTTTGATTATATGAATTTAAATTTCGGAATAAAAAAACAAAAAAAGATCAGACCTCGAGAGAAAACCATGGCGCTTTGAATTGGAAATGTCCATCACTTATATGCAAGCCTCGGATCGGACATTCTTGTTTCCAATGTTAATAATACATTTTAGTACGTTGTTATTTAGCCAAATACTTTGTTGTCTGAAAATCAGATTGAATAAATTACAAAATGAATACATCAAGTTTGCAGATATATGTAAAGGAATATGAGATCCATATAACAGATACAAAGAGAAAGAAGAATACCTCGCTGATCATAAAGCCTTTTACCATCGTTATGATGGCATCATATGTTTCTTTATTAAATCTTTCTATTTTACTTGTATGATGTTCCTGCACTAACACAAGTAATCAAGACAAACGTAATTATACATAATATTATAATGGCTAAATAATAAATGTAATGTCCGGAAATAAAAATTAATTTCCTGGGAAACACATGAGTTGAGTTATGAAATAAATGTTTAATAACATGGATGTACATAGGTAGATTTTAGTATTGTAAACTTTGAAAAAAAAAAGAATCCGTAAATAGTCAGCAACAATATTGACAGTAGTAGTAGTTTTTTTTGTATTATTTCTCATATCTATGAAACAATGTATTGCCTAAAAAAAGGTATTTGTTTTCTTGTTCCTTTACTGGGTAAATATTACATGTGGCACTAATCCCCGTTTTAAGTACCTGCTGTGACACTGATGACAATGCAACAAGAGCATCTACGCATACAGGCAAAAAAAAACCAATGCAAAAAAATAGTTATAGGTTAGTTCCTCACCTAAAAGGAAGAGAAGTATGAGCAGAAAATTAAGATTCATTTGGGCTGACGTGCTAGCGTTATTCAACTTACTCTATAAGAATCCTTAAATTGTATCTGCAACGAAGAAAAACAATCATACACATTGCACCAAAAACCAAACAAAGATTTGAATATACCAAAAGAGTAAAATAACCTGAACTGACCTAAAATACACTTTCGTAGCAGTTGAAGGAGCTAAGCTGCAGGCTTCAAATTGTGTAATAACATAAATATACATGTAATTGGCCAGAGAAAAAAACAGACATCCTATTGAATTAAGATGGAAAGGTAACTTCAAGTACAACCACAAAAAAGTAAAATAATTACCTCCTCTCCTCAATGTACTTAGAAAAAGGGAACGATAAATACGGTGAGACAATATCACATTTATGTTTGTGTGTGTAACAGTAGAGGCCGTAACATGACATCTAAATGACTTCCATTAATGAGACAAACATAGAAGTTAAGAAAGTTATAAAATTTAAAAATTATTTCCACATAAATGGTTTTGTAGATAAACGAAATGTAAGTACAAGTGATGTAGTAGATAGCGTACCTGTAGCAGGATGTGGGAGACTATGTCGGTGGAGGAAGATATTCATCTTCAACATGTCAGAACTGGCCGTTTGAAAGACTACGCAGAAGGCGTCGTCACAGAAGAAATTTATTTTATTCCTAGGGCCCCAAATATGTTCGGTCATTGGGTTGACGTATGGTTACGTATATGTAAAAGTGCTGAACATATACAGAAGAATGGGACATGAATAAGAGTACATAGGAGGAGAATGATATTGCTAATGTGATGTAGTCTAAGTACTGTTAGAGTACTCTTATACACAAATCGACCAAGTGTATAGTAATAGTGGGGGTATGAGTAAGGCTACAAGGGTATATCGAGGGTAATAAGAAACAATGTTGGTTAAGAAGTTATGAAATTTATAAATAACGTATGCGGACATGTTTGATGTCATTGAATGTATTAAAAAGGAATGATGGCAGTGGCATACAATGTAATGGGAAATGAGTACGAAAAATATATTTCATGCTACCCTTTTAACATAGATTATCTCCGTTAGGAAATGCGAATGTAAAAAATTTGGATTGGTATACAACGTATCCATCGTTGTTGGTGTGTATGTACGTTGACGAATGCATGCAGGGAAAGATGTAAAAAGAAAACATGAAATAAGATGTGCTTACATATGAATGTGCAATAATTGTAATTGTACTGGTGTGGTAATGTAGTCCCTCCCATTTGTGGAAAAGAGAAAAAATGAAAAGAGAAACCTGGGTGAAAATAGTGTAAGTGTGAATACCGTAGTGGTAAAGGTTGGGTGATAAACAGGACCTGACAAAACAACAATTTTTAAAAATGGTGGGTGAATGGGGGAGGAAGGGGGTAGTGGTGTACTACATGTTTCAATGACGTGGAACTGCATTAAAAAAAATAACAATAAAGGACCCGAGTGGTCTGTGTGAAATATAAAGTGTACATAACGGGATATTTATATTCATATGAACAGGGAAGCAAAATGAGTCAATATTTACAATGTGTTCAGCATTACGATATGACATGGAAGGCAGTCGTATGCAGGGTGCAGGACGTAATGAGGTAGTACCAGTGTTGTTAATTTGTCCCTAATATGCACTATGTTACTGGGCAAAAAGTGGGTATTACAAGATTGCAGTCAAGCGTTATTGTATAAACGGCGCTTTATTTGAAAGACTGCAAGAGTGACCCTTGGGTACGCAAAAAAGATGTCAACACTACGTCAGTCCTCGCTATTTTTGCGTTTTGCGGAACGCAGATTTGTAAGGGAATCTTCTGTGACAATGGTTGGTTGCACAACGTTTGAGGTTGCTGAGCATTTCTGAGCAGTAGGCAGTGGAGTGAGGCTTTTCAAATTTAGTTTCCTCTTTGCACGGGCTGATGGGCCGGCTTGAGTTTCTGATGGTGCAAGGGTAATCGGGGAGCCAGGGCAGATATCTTCAACAAGGCTGACACATGCTACAGTGTATGGATTGCCCATAAGCCCTTCATCGTTTTCTTTTGTTTTTTTTATTCCAACAACAGTGGTGATGTTAGCTAGTTTTGTGCTGAAACGTTCCAAATCAATGTCATCGTCCGACTCCATCTTCACAAAGTTCAGTAGTTGCATTACGTCATTTGTGAACAAGGTGACAACTATATTCCTACATTCATTGCTTAATGTAGCGTTCAGGCGGAATCTGTATGTATTGTAATGTGTCAGCGAAGGTTCCACCAAACAATGGTAACAACGTTGGTAGGTGGGTGTACCTTTTCACAGTAGTGCCACTTTTTTGGCCACAAAATAAACATTGAAAATTCACGCCCTCTGCTCCATGGACTTTGCGATTGCAGTAATCGCAACCAATGTAAGACCCGTCCTCTAAAGTGTCCGACAATTGAAATTTGGCGAAAACCCACACAATAGGGGACTGTATCAGGATGAAGGAAAGACAATGGTAAAGAGGATGTTAAAGTATACTAAGGATAAGAAAATCTATTTTTCCAACATGGTATCGTACCTCAGCAAGGGAACTTTCCAAATCTGTGAGCGCGGTCAGTGGTTGGGAAAGAGGGTTGGAAAAAACTACAAGTGCGTTGTCATATTTCTTCGCGTACACCACATCATTGATTTTGCCTTTGTTGTCGTTAACCCTGGTGTAACATGTAAACGGTAATGAAATATGATATTGTGCTTTAAAATATTTGATACTTTACTAAATGCATAGAGAGGGAATAGGAATGTACCATTTCTTCAATTGCAGTGCTCGTTCTCCGTCAGGGTTCAGTTCGACGTGGCAATCAAAACGTGTTGAAAGCGACAGACCTAAATGTTTGGCATTAAAATGTAAAACAATCAGGCAAAAAAAAAAACAGGCTGTGGAGTATTCATATAAAACATTGATTGTAGAACGTGAAAAAAATGTGATTGTTGTTGGTGCGACCTTGAAACAGATTTATGGCAGCCCTGTGAATGAGAATAAGTGGGAAATCACCATTTTCTAAACACTTATCAATTGCACTACCGTGGCGAGTAACGAAATCTTCCCACACTGTCAGTGCAATTGGCATGCACCTATGCAAACAAAAACTTCAAAATGAGATGAATGTGGGAGAGTGGGGAGTGGGGATGTGGCCAAGATAGATAACTGAAGGTAGAGTGTACATTGTGTCAACGAGAACTACGTCCCAGGCTGGTTTCTGAATGGAATTGGAAAATACAAACGTCCGAGGTAATTTCTTTACTATTGCAGCTAGAATATCTGCAATTTTTTTTTTTGTGGTTGTAATATATTACATAGACAATTGAAGGCAAAAGTGTAGGTATGTGTATGTATAGAGAATAGAGACTTACTGATACGTGCGTCATGTAAGTAAGATGTGTATATGTCGGTAAAAGGGATGGTGTCTGCCTCAGCCAGCTGACGGAAGTCTCTTCCCTCCTCCATAGGCACATCTTGGATTAAAGTGCGCCGCGTGAATGACCAAACATATGGATATGCTCCGTCAACACAGAAACGCATATCGGTGATTGGTTTGACGTACGCATTCGAAACAAGGTAGGTGGAATACAACGCAAGGTGCTGATCAATACCTTCAATATCACCTTTGAAGGCAGTAGCCTGCACTTTATTCCCCTATACAGAATACACCATACAAACAAGAGAATGAACATGCAGAATGATGCAAAGAAGTACAAGTTGTAAATCAAAATAAAACTTACAGCAGAGTCCATTAGTATCATCGGCATAAACTTCATTGGGGAAGTTTTTGCAGTACGGATGTTTTGTTTCTCTACCAATGTAACCCGACAGCTCCATGGATGAGTTTGAGGAAAGATAGCGACGATGGGTAGTTCAGCTGCCATGGATGGAGTGTTTCACTGCATTAGTAAGGAAAGTAGGTTAATGTATAATAATAAAGGTATGTAAATATGAGGGATGATAAAATTGAAATATGTAATAAATAAACACAAACCTAGTTTATCAAATGTAATATTTCTTCAAATACAATGTTGGGTGTTGTATTAGTGAGCAGCAGGTCAGGAATGTCAGGACAAATAAGTATTTTAATTGATTGTGCATTTCGAGCTCTTGACATTGCAACATAAAGCTGTCCGTGAGAAAAAACAGGTTCTTTCAAATATATGCCAACAAAATCAAGTGTCTGTCCCTGTGACTTGTTAATTGTCATTGCTAAGCAAACCTTGACAGGAAACTGGGTGCGTTTAAATGGAATAGGGCAGTTGTCATCCCTAGAAACTTCAAGGGGGATTTTAGGAATGAAAACATGGTTCCCCTTATAATCGCCAGTAGCAATGTAACAACTCAAAATGTGATCTCCAAATGAATCACAAAGTAGACGGGTTCCATTACATAAACCTTTGCAAGGATTAAGATTGCGAAGCAACATTATTGGGCAATTATGTTTCAATGTCAATTTATGATGAGGTAATCCAGTGGGGGATAGGGTGTGCAAA